CTCAGAATTGCTCTAACAGCAGTAGTTTTTGAAGGTCTACTGAGGGTGGAAGATGACGGTGATTGGCCAACTTCGAATTTAAAGTTTAAGTGAACTGCATTCAGGGCCGTCGTGAACTTTGCAGCTTTAGTTGTTCACCATCCTGGTTGAACAACACTTTCAAGGTTTTTCTATTTTTTTTGTTTCTGGCATTTCGTTACCCTGGTACGCTTTTGGGGGAAAATCCCAAGAATTGGTTCCGAGGCTATTTTTCCTTGAATTCAACATTTAGGTTATGCACCTCATAACAATTGATAAATTGTTCCGAATATTATTGATTTTTGGCTTTGATTTTATTCAATTTTTGAGGAATAAAAGTGAAAGCAGATTTGACACATGGGAACGCGGATGTAGCTACGGTACCCAGTGTTGGTCAATGGAATTCACCATGCTAGCTTGAAAGGAGAAATAAAACGCCTTTTGTGGCACTCATGTGGCAAAATATGTGGCACAAGCAGAGCGAAGATCGTTCCAGCATATTTGCACGTATGCCAAAGTTCTCACAGCGCATGCGTGAATCTGAGGCGACAAATAATTGCAGATTCGCTCGTACCCCCCGCCCTGCAAACAGGACGCTGGTCAGGGCTGACGTCATTTGAGCTCTCATTGGATAGATTCGCGTTACCTGTGACGTAGAACGCGTCACACAAACTAGCTTCCGGTGCCCATCATGCGTAGCGCGCGCGAGCTGCATGCGAAGGTCAATCTGTACTTCCTTCACAAGATTCTGTGAAGCTCATCAGCCCTTACCAGCGCCCTGTTTGCAGGGCGGGGGGGGGGGGGGGGGGGGGGGGGGGGGTACGAGCGAAAATTGCAGACTGCGTGAGTCCGATTTTGCGCTACTAAGAACTTCCATTTATTTCGTTCTTTATTACAATTTTAACCGGAAAACGTTCGCCATTGTTGAAATATCTCCAGCCCCAATTTTTTGGGAAAAGTGGGCCTAACTTGACGGCTTACCTCATAATGCAAAATATCGGGTTAAAATAACATAAAAAACCTCTGTAAATTTCGCATATGACATGGAGCCAATTGCCGGACGCTGTACGCGTCTTTCTGCGCTCCGTTTCGAGAATCGTTCCATTCAAAAGTGCAGTCAAGCTCCCACCGTACGAATGCATCTGAGAACGAAACGTACAGGGGCGGGTCTGCCTTTCAGGAAGGGGGGTATGAAGGGAGGGGGGGGGGGGGGAGTGAAGGCGTGTCTAAAGCTCGCCCTGCTAGGGGATCCGGGGGCATCCCCCCCCCCCGGAAAAATTTGAACTCTAAAGTGCTTTCTCCTGCATTGTATAAGGCAATTTGAGAATAAAGTTTAGAACTTTAACATTCCATTTCAACACAGATTACACGCCTCCCCATATTTCTTTTTGTGCAATAGGATCTTAACACCTACATCCACTGTCCTTTAAAGTGTACTGCCAATTCCCACATATTCGAAGTGTTGCCCTTATTACCTCAACGAAGGAGGTTATGTTTCATCGGCAGCGTTTGTTTGTTGGTTGGTTGGTTGTTTGTCTGTTAACAAGATAACTGAAAAAAAGTTATGGACGGATTTGCATGAAAAAAAAAAATCACGGGTAGTCCTTAGTCAGGGTGACCGTTTTAGCCGAATTTCGGCTAAATTTGGCAGAATTTTTCTTCGAAAACGAGTTTGACAGAAAATTTGACAGAATGGATTTTTTTGGCAGATTTCTGGCAGAATTCTCCAAAAATGGTCATTTAACAGTAAAACATAGCAAATTTGAAAAAAAATGATACATTTTGTTTGAAAAAGAAAAATGTTGCCAATCTATTCAAGCAAACCCTTGCATAATGGGACAGGTTGCCTGGTCTAGCTGCTGAGGTTCACTGGGAACCGGATTTTGCCGGAGTTTTTCGCAACTTCATAACCTCTTTATGTAACTACAGATTGTTTATAATGTAATTTGAACCTTAATTAAGGCAATACTACAACATCTGCATGTGATTTAAGTGTTTATAGTGTATTTCGAGTGATTCTGGGGAATTTGACATTTTTGGGATTAATCTGACAGATTTTTTGAAGTGCATTTAGCAGAATTTGGGCATGACCTTACGGTCACCCTGTCCTTAGTACAAGTACAACTCGATTATATTTTGGAAGTGATCCGGATCTGGGCGTGTGGATGCAGAATTTTTTTAAAGGATTTTTCACCATTTATGAGAGTATTTCTTTTGGGTGTACTGACAATATGGCGGGGAATTGTTTAGCCTTGGCGGAGGTTTGCGCTCTCTTGAGTATTCGTAGGTTTTCGTTCTAGTATTCGTAGGTTTTCCCCTCAAAGAACAGTTCATTGTCTGATCCACACACACCCACTAACATAATAACTTCAAATTGAGAAATTCTGAGAATAAAGCTAAACCATAGAAATATGAAAGATAGAAATGTCTTGGCCAATAACTGTGCTTCCAAGACGTACGTCGCCTCCCCTGCTCTTCGGTGTCAACGGTAAGAATTTTCCGCAATCTCTGTCCCTGGTTGTTCGTTTTCCCTGCTCCAATTTTTTTTCGAAGCCAGGAAGGTTTCATTTTATTGTTGGGTTTTGCACGTCACCGACAGATTATAGACCGACTAGCCAACTTGGCTTGTTCAGTAGGGACTTGCACCCACGACCTTCTGATTATATTGGCGCAGGCGTCTTGCATGGCAAAATATCTTGGAAAAGATAGCTGTTGCCACCCCCCCCCCCAACACACACACACTTTAGATAAATTAAGCTCATTTCCCCCTCACAGCCACTGCAGTTGGGGCTAAATCCAAAACCAAAAATTGCTCCAGTAGGCCCTACATCTCTCCGACGCAAATATGCCATCAATCCGGGTACGGAAAAAACATTGTTGTCTAATTCCGAGAACTATTTTTTTTGAGCGCACTTTCAAAACTTCCAACGCAGAACAATTGACAATTATTGTCCCACGCAATGCAGCGGAGAAGTGAAAGCGGAGCCTAGGAACGTACGTAGTTACAAAGAATGAAAGAATCCAATATACCAGGCTTGAACGGAGAAGCAAAAGATGGGGATTCGTTCTGCTCTGCTTCAGTTGTAAATCCTGGTTTCTTGTTTCGACGGAAAATGAACAGTTTGAAGTGCAGCGCCCCCGCCCTCCCCCACAAAGTGAACTTTTTGGCCGGACGAGGAGTGGGTCCAGTTACTTTCGCTTTACCATGGAGGTGAAATTCATACTAACGGTAAAATAAACCATGGGATACCCAGTCCCTCAATTTTCTTCTATCTTATCAAAATGACGTGTTTGACAATGTTGTGTTTGCCATATTTCGAAGGTTCGGGTCAACTGAAAACCCACACAATGTTGCCTTAAAGTTTCCAAGCAACTCTTTAAACCCTAATACTTGCATGCCTGCAGAAGAAAATAAAATTGCTTAAATTTTTGTATTTACCCCAACTGTCGGCCCCATTCAAAGTGAAATTCTAAAATGGCAACTTTCGACAAGTTTGCAACAAAAGTCCTATGAGTGTTAACGTAACGCATAAAGCACAGACACAGCAAACCAGTGGCGTAGCCAAGGGGGGGGGGCGTGGGGGGGGGGGGGGCGACAGCCTCCCCCCATGAAACCTTGTCGCCCCCCCCCCCCCCAGTCGCCCCCACCCCATTTTGAGTTTCTAAAAAAATTATCATTGATCTACATGACGCCCCCCATGAAATGTTCCAGCCCCCCCCCCCAGCGTTATTTTAAAAGTACAAGAAGTAGTCAAATAGTCTGTTCATTTAAATTCTCGTTCATTATACACATTTCTTTAAACATCATTGAATTCTGCAAAGCTTTATAATACAGTACTGAATGTTATCTAACTTTAACTTCTCCAGGAAGAGCTAGAGATAATAAACGCTGATACTTGAGAATTTGTTTTAAAGATATCAACAACAAAGATTATTAACTTGAGTCGAGTTGCGTTTAGTTGGGTTGGGTTGGGTTGGGTTGGGTTGGGTTGGGTTGGGTTGGGTCGGGTCGGGTTGGGTTGGGTTGGGTTGGGTTGGGCTGGGCTGGGCTGGGTTGGGTTGGGGTGGGTTGGGTTGGATTGGGTTGGGTTGGGGTGGGTTGAGTTGGGTTGGGTTGGGCTGGGCTGGGGTGGGTTGGGTTGGGTTGGATTGGGTTGGGTTGGGTTGGGTTGAGTTGGGTTGGGTTGGATTGGATTGGGTTGGGTTGGGTTGGGTTGGGTTGAGTTGGGTTGGGTTGGATTGGATTGGGTTGGGTTGAGTTGCGTTTGGTTGGGTTGGGTTTGGTTTGGTTGGGCTGGGTTGGGCTGGGTTGGGCTGGGCTGGGTTGGGTTGGGCTGGGCTGGGCTGGTTTAGGTTGGGTTGGGTTGGGTTGGTTTGGTTTGGTTGGGTTGGGTTGGGTTGGGTTGGGTTGGGTTGGGTTGGGCTGGGTTGGGCTGGGCTGGGTTGGGTTGGGCTGGGCTGGTTTAGGTTGGGTTGGGTTGGGTTGGTTTGGGCTGGGTTTGGTTTCGTTCCGTTCCGTTTTGGTTTATTTAGAAAAAAGGCTACTAACCAATAAGAAGTTAAAGACATATGGTTACTCCGTATAAATGTATACATTATGTTTATTTAATGTGACCCAGATCATATAAAGCTAAGTAAACGATTAATCTAACAAAATGAAAATGTTGCGAAATCTGGTCCATTGTGCAACTCTAACCCTTTTATTGTTTGGTTTCAAAAGCTTGGTAAATATGGGGGAGGGGAGGGGGCTGCAAAATCGTGACATTTTCCAAGGTGGGTTGGGGGAGGGGAATGAGACTGGCCCCCTCTGCCCGGCACCATCGGCATCCCCACCCCCGGCTCTGCCACCCCTGTGTGTTCTTGTACCTCAAATAAGCTCTGAAATATACACATTTTGTACATTGAGGGCCCAATGCAGAATAGCTGTAGAATCATCCTAACTAAAATTGACTCTTAAACGTTATGCATTTACTAAGCTTGTCTTGGAACAAAGAAATATAAACAGCAAGTTCCAAACTCTTGACGGTTGTCGAAACCGGTATTATGATACAAGTATCTACATTAATATGGAAGGTATATACAATGTGCAAGTTACTTACATTACAATTCGGTGTAATCTTAACGTATTGCAGAAATTTGGTACGATGTACATGGTATGAAACAAGAAAAAAAAAATCGCTGGTATACATTCTCAGTCGTTTCATGAAACCAGAGGTAAACGCCAGCCCGATGGGCCATATTAGCTCGTGTCAGACTTTACTACTTTACTTTACCGTCTAAGACGTGATAGTGTTCATTAGTTATAGTGGTTTTTTTCATATCTGGTCACCGGGGACCGCACAGGAATGGATTTGGGATGAGGGAGTAGGGGCGGCAATGAGTTCAATCCGGACACTGTAGGCTGAGCCACATTGGTATTGGTCGGTTGGGATTCTGCATGACGTCATTCCAATGTTGCAGTTCTTCGCAGGTTGACGTCCATCCCAGCTCACACTAAAAGAACACAGAAGATAATTAAACTCAGATGGCAGATGGCAGATGGCGTCAACCCCCATCCCCGTTTTCGAATTTACCAAAATGTTGGGCCTCTACCCCCCCCCCACATGTTGACAACAAATCACCGCTCCTGCATGGTATGAATTTCAACCTCATAAGGTTGGGAGGACATAGTCGATTTTGGAGGTTCCTATAATGACGAGTACATGACTATGCTCATGCGTGCGTGGAATCTTTGTCCCAGTACTCATGCCGAGTATTGACCCAAAACTGAACTGTCGCTTCTTGACCACACGACTCCATCTGTAAGCAGGAGGTCGTGGGCTCGACAAGCAAGCAACTTTTTACAATCTAAAAGCTTCTTGAGAAACAAAGCGCTTACTTAACCCTAAAAGGGCCGGGTTATTTTGACCATCTCTCAGCCGGGGGGGGGGGGGGGGGGGGCGGCGGATTCCGCTCCCCTCCCAAGATCTCGGGCATCGAGTGACGAAAAAAAATTTGAAACTCGGTACATACATGCAACTCTTCATAAACATATCCAAGAAATGTCATGACTATAGGTCAAAGGGTTGTGGAATTATGGCTAATTAATTATTCATATGTACGAATGGCAATTCTGCTCTGTGCACACGACGTATATGGCAAAATTCAGTTTTCACGGCGAAAATGTTTCGCTACGCGGCAACCCGTGGTCCGATTTGTATGTTTTTGGTACCAAAAAATGCGCAAGGCTCGAGGCTAAGAAGTCATAACAGCTTGGGTCTTAAAAGAAAATCAACGCTATCGCCGAAAAACTTGGGGGGGGGGGGCGTATTCCGCCCCGGCCCTTTTAGGGTTAAGCTATATACGCTCATATCCCCGTTAACAAAACTACAAGAAATGACTCTCTACTTATTCGTCTTGTTTATTGTGCTAAAAAAGGGGGATGTTTTAAAGGAATGATTTTACCCTGCCGATAACGTGAGCTCCTTTGACCATATCAACGTGCGTGACAGTCAACTCGAACTGTATATCCTGCAGCTTGATGTTAGTCGGCGGAATGGTAAACACGATCTGGTCATTCCACACCGGGCTGTGCGTCTCTCGGACCACCTTGGATTTCTGCTTCTCCACTCGCTTCCTCTCGCATATCATCTCGATTTTAACAACCGAATCTGTGTAGGAATTGTCAAGAGATGAACCGAGATGAGGACTGAGCTTTGGGAAAATCGCACGGACCCTGCGCTGGAAATCCTTGGCCACTAATGTCTTGTATAGATTCTCCCCTGATGGCTTACAGCGACCTCCAAAGCGACGACGCTCGGAGTCTTTTGCCATTTTAAAGGCATATCAGATCATTTGCTTTTCGCGCATTTTGTTCGTTTCTACCACTCAAAATCCAAAGAAAAATGTTCAAAACCTAACCTGTTGATATCATTTGGATATTATACTTTCGAGAAAACAGTGAAACAGCCTTTGGATCACGAAATGTGATTTCGTCCATGCATAATAACACTCTTACTTCCTAAAATCAGTCCACTGACAGTCGTTGGAAATCACCGACATAAATTTGTTGATTTCTTTTAAATGACAGCAAGCCAGACAGAATAATTTCACGGGATGTTTAGTGCAGTACGATCTTTAATCCAAGTAAGCTTTTTTGATAATAATTCGGTATGTTACTTTTGGGATAAATACCAGTGATCATACATGCTTTATTAATGTGTAGCCTTGATTGCTATATAATTTATATTTCTGGAGGACAAACTTACGTATGCTTCCAAATAGAGCACTGCGCGGAAGATCTCGTGCTTCTAAGACGAGGAAGACCATTCTTTGTTGACCAGGCTGGTAGCAGATGGATAGATGAAGATCGCCAAGATCGGACTATAGGAGTAGAAACATTCGGATCGATGGTATCAAGATCTTGAATTTTTATTGAACTGTTCTAAATTGAAACGCGTAAAGTTTGTTTCAGAGGATTACCCAAAACACGCTCGTTGGGTTTGTCTCAAGCTAGCTTTTCTCAAGCTACAATCCTGGCCAAATCTCGCTGGGCCCCAACCCCCCAGCCAGTCAATGTTGTCTCTCATTGCGCGGTGTGTGCTCCATCAGCAGGAGAGAACAACATTGACCGGGGGAGCGGGGGAGTTGGTGACCGTTGGAGGCTAAGGTTATTTCCAAGTGTCCCAACCATTTTGGCCGGGACTGTAGCTATAGGCTAACCCTTGGGCTAGTCAACACACCGTATAAACAAAAAATAATGAAAACTACACAATTGCAGCATCAATAAGGCTCAAGCAAACCACTTTTTAAAATGGATCCAAATTCGAACTCTCGGTAACACTTTGGCGCTCAGACATACACCACGGCTGGTGTGGTTCGGGTCTACTCGGGTCTCGTCACGGTCCCTTCAACCTTATAGTCGAGAGACTGTATTACAGTCACTGTGTCACTGTCTTTGTCATCATCATTGTCGCCGTCATTGTCTTCGCCACCTCGTCATCGTCATGGACCAATATTGTCGAATAACTTACGTAGTACCGCTCGCTCGTGAAGAAGTTGAGGATGAACTCTTGCGAGTTTTCCAGGTTCATCTGGCCGAGTACGACGTCCGAGACCCCGATGAACTGAGGTCTGCTGATGCTGCTCTCTCGGAAGCACAGGTACAGCCGTAGCGTCAGCTGCCAGGCGGCCGACTTCGACACGCCCATGATGGCAAACTCGTTACCCCAAGTTGCGTTCTGATGGCAACGAATAACAGTTTCACTTTTGAACTTTCGTCATTTTGAAGCAGAGATGTAGTCCAGTCAATCACAAGTCCCTGCAAGTCCATCACAAGTCCATCCAAGTCCCCCAGTCCCCATAAATAGTCCCCATTCAAACCACAAATTGTTCAAATGGGCTTTGACAATTGTTCGTCCACTGTTACGTGTGACTGGACTTGTGAATTTTCTTGTGACTGGACTTGTGATGGACTTGTGATAGACTCGACAACATCCCTGTTTTAATAAGAATTGGTTGGGCATAGAATCCACCTGGCGAGTGAGAATTGTTTGCCTCAGCAAGGGGAAAACTGTGAATGAAACTCTCTTCTGACCATTCAACCAGATGCCCTCAACATACAGGTAGGGATCGTCCAACATTTAATTTTCCTTCAAAGTCGTTTTGATGCAGATAAGTCTTCGCCCCACCTCTCTATTTACCACCTCCCTTGTTGATGCATTCAATCTTGTATCTTCCTCGCCCTCTTCCTTGTATGGATTTTACTTCATCAATTATAATATACGCCTTCAGTGATCTGCTCGAACAAAATTGCTTGAGTTTTTTATATTATTTCTTTCTTTCTTTTTATAGACAATTGGAAGCTACATGTATAGTGGAACGCCGCTATAACGAACATCGTGGGATCCTCAGAAAGTGTTCGTAATAACGATCGTTCGGTATAGCGATTTTGAACCGCCGGTACCCTCTTTTGACCAATAGTGAAGTCACTGAACTGGCATTTCTCACATCCCGCCGCCGCTTGAGGAGTTGTCACAAAACTTTAGCAACGGGTGGTTTTCCCTTGTATTCCTTGGGGAAATAATTTAGCCATCTATCGCTCAGTTCAACATTCAAACACACGATGTACCCATGGGTGGCTTGATGTTCGGGAATTAAAAACTGGCCCAAACAGTGTTTAATACATGTAGAACCGGTAAGTTTTTTGGTTAATCTGTTGACTTTTTTCAACAACGATGTTCGGTACGTTTTGTACATTAAAACCGGGAGGCAAGGATGATGTTCGGTATAGCCGAATGTTCGGTATAGCGGTGTTCAGTAAAGCGGCGTTCCACTGTATTTGGAAAATTCGCATTCAAAAGGGTATTACGTACCTCTGCCAAGGCAGCAAATTTGGTCATAAATCTTTGGCTCATAGAGGGCAGAAAACCACCCTTGATGTACAGCATCGGGTTCAAGAATTTCTTGTACTTCAAACGCTCAGGCAGATCCAGATCTGTTACCTGTAAATGGTGACATCAACTACACGTTATTGTTATAATGTACATTTGTGTTATAAGTCTTCGATGTTTTTCACGAGAGATAAATAGACCAATGCCCTTCTAAAATTAGGAGGACTAACACAAAATCTGCCTCAGCCGAACATTTTAATTCACATGAAGTATATGGTCATATACGGTGAGACGGTTGGATGTCATATTTTTCTTTTCTTTGTTTCTGCTTATGACATTCACGTAAAAATGACTTAATCTTTCAACCAAAATGCTAAACTTCAGCCGTCCCTCTTGAAGAAATATTTTCTACAGCTGCGGAAAGGGGCTGAAGGGGGTGGGGGATGGGGGATGGGGGGGGGGGGGGTTGCAATCCCCATTCAGCTGCTGACTAATGTTATGAACTATAGTTAACTGGGGCGAAAATACTAAAGTAGGCCTAAATGGAATGTTAAGGTTTCTAAATGTGTGCTCAAATTGCCTTTCAAGGCAGGAGAATTGTTTTTCTGGGGGGAAGTCCCCGGACCCCAGGACACCATAGCAAGGCGTTGGCACGCCCTCACTAATCCCCCTCCACCTTCACATCAACCCCCCCCCCCCACTTCCTGAAAGCTAGAAACGCCCCTGTTTTACATTAACCTTTCCGAAATCAAGATCACTGCAAAACTGTCAAGCGTGTGTTGTTGTTTTTACCAGCATTTCCTCCGCAATTTAGTTCGACGGTTACATGTTTTTTTTTCTCCAGTACCTTGTTTATGAACAGCAGCAGCTGCTCTTCGTTGGCTCTGTGCTGGATACGGATGAATAACTTCCCCATCTGTTCGACTGAAATACAAAAAAAAATCTTGCTTTAATTTCAATATGATATCCCGACGAAGCGATGAAAGTTCTCCACGGAAGTTTCTTTATTTATTATGTGACACAAAATGCGCGTTTGGCGGTCGTAACCAACAACTGGTTCGGTTGTTTTCAAGTTTTGATAGCTGATGGAGCATTTTGGACTTCGAATGTGCAGAAATTATGCGTGATTACTGCAGAACCGAAGTCGTCAATGTGCTCAATATAAAACAAATTTAAACAATCGAACCAGTTGTTGGTTTACGCCGCCAGTCTCGCCTAAACAAGTATCATCAAAATGTATTTCTCAGGTTCATATCTGTACGTACAGGTACTGCCATTATTGTCATGGAAATCCCACCCGATCCAAACCCGCATTTCCCATCCGAACACCAAATTGAACTCTTTGGTGAACCGTGTATCGAGGGGCCCATTCCCATCTTGCAGCAAATGTCGTTCATCGTCACCAACCAATACCGACCGTCCTTTTCTGTCCCGTTCATTTATCCGGTGTCATGATGTCCACTGATTATTTGTGTCTTGTCGTGCCGTCTTTTTTTCCGTACCATCCCTTGTCATGCCGCCTCATACCGCCCGGCATTATCAAATCCCTATCCATCCCTTCACATGCATGTACTGTCATTTCTTGTGCCGTGCCGTGCCTTCCAGTTCTGTAATTTTTAGTGCTGACTCTGCCGAGCCGTTTCGTGCTGTCATTTTCTTGTGCCGTGCTACCCCTTTGCTTCCCATTTTGTCATCTCTTGTTTCGGGCCGTGCCGTCCCTTCCATTCCATTCCCATCTGTTCTTGTCCCTTTCCGTTCCATCCTCTCCACTGCTTTCATTTCCTGTGCTTACAGTCACTTCATAGTCTGCCATTTCATATCCCGTTCCGTCCAATCTATTTTCTTACAATAATTTCCTGAGCCGTTTCGTCTCATCTCTTTACATGTTGTCATATCTTGTGCCGTGCCGTGCCGTCGCGTCGCATCCCTTTCCGCGTTGTTGTTTCATTTTCCCCTTCGGTCCCATGCTGTCATAATTATCTTGGTCCGTGCAATCCCATCCTTTCCATACCCGTCATTTCATGTACCGTCACCTCCCACCCATTCCAATGATGTCATTTCTTGTGCCGTGCCGTCGCATCCCTTTCCGCGTTGTCATTTCATTACTCCTTCGGTCCCATGCTGTCATCTTGGTCTGTAAAATCCCCTCCTTTCCATACCGTCATTTCATGTACCGTCACCTCCCACCCATTCAAATGATGTCATTTTCTTGTACCGTGCCGTCCCACCCTTCCCACGCTACTACTTTGTGCCTGGCTATGTCATCTCTTTGTTCCCCTTACTGTCCCGTTCCACCCAGCAGCGTATTCAGCTTTTGATGTCAGGGGGGCAACCGCACATCCGCGCCGAAATGTAGACATGTTTTTTTCTCCATCTTCCAAATGGGGGCGCTCTTCAAAACTTACCATTATTATGTTTACTATATTATTATATGGACAATTTCACGGCGCATTGTAATGGTTGTTGAGCGGGTTTTCTTTGGTGGGATTGATGCCAGAAGAACTCTATAAACACTTAAAATCATTGCTGACAAAAAAAATTTTTCAAAAAAATCCGCCAGGGGGGCAAAGTGCCCTCCCCCCCCTGGATACGCCACTGGTTCCACCAAGCCCATATCTTCTATACACATTGACATTAGTCCTACCTAAATCCACGATACTGCCTTCCGATCCAGCTCGCCCCTTGTGAATACCTAACGGCTCATGCAGCAGATGCGCGCTGCCCCGCCTCTCTCCCTTGGCGTGGTGTCGATAAGGCATGTGTGGTACACTGATACCTCTCTGTCAAAGACAAGTTGCTTTATTTATAACGAAATCGAATTATTGTAATATGAAACCAGACGGCGACAACAATACATCTTATATACAACTTGAAAAATCAAGGATGTGGGATCTTCTCCAACAATATTACCAGGTCAATTTTGTAAACCTGCAATACGCAAGAAGCAAGCCCGACATTACCACTTCTCTATCCCGGACGCTAAGCTCAAGTAGCCTACATGACTTTTGGGGGTCATGTTTCAGGGCTTTAGAAAGTTGCGCATAAAGAACCTTCACGTTTATAGTGCCACAATTGCCAAACTTAAATTTACTGTGACACTCTAGTGATAAAGATTTGGAACAGCAGGATTTTTCAGGCGAGCGCCCCGAGGTGGTAATGCCAACACACAGAGAGGGAATAAAGGCTTTGTCCAATAACATACAAATAATTAACTAGCCTCCCTAACCCCCTGTATGCCTCTCTACTTTCAACCACTGCTTGTTCAACATAATTATAACTATGCAGATACCAACATTAATTTATTTGTTGCTCCTTATCACAAGTGTGGGGACTCGATGCGATTGTTCCCTAGCCCATACTAAGCATTGCACTGGAAGGAGACGACCTTTTTAACCTCCTAAAGGCGTAATAAGACAATTTGCTTTAAACGCATGTTGTTCGTTTCCAATAATAACACCAATCAAAATCCAAACAAGAACGTTGAAAGCCAAACCTGTTGAAGTTTCCGCTCAGTGGATATTACATTTTTCGAGAAAACGGCAAAAACCATAATGATAGTATAGGCCTACATATTTTTGATCACGAAAAACGATTTCGTCAATTGCACTTTTGAAAAATCTGTCATTTGACTAATCGTTGCATATGACATACATTTCTTGATTTCTTCTTAATGACAGCAAGCCAGACGGAACTATTTCACGAGGTGTTCAGTACCAGTACGATCTTTAATCCAAGTAAACTTTTTGATGATGGGTTAGTTTCAGTGTTGTAGTACTCGTACTCGGTACTCGTACTCGAGTACTACTCGAGTACTTTTTTTTGAGTACTCGTACTCGTACTCGTACTCGAATGTCAAAGTACTCGTACTCAAAATGACGGTACTCGTACTCGGGCAGCAAAGTACTCGTACTCGAAATGTCGAAATTGTACTCGATCATTAAAGTACTCGTACTCGAATAGCAGTCCTGGGGGGGGGGGGGATGTTATAGCTCCACTTACCATGGCCATATTTTATCCATACTTTCAGTTTGAAATGGTTCATTGGCTCGTGGGGAAATCGAGATTTCCTGATTTTCCTCTGTGCAAGTCCGGACAAACACATTTAACAGCTAGCCGTGAGTGGGTCTGTATATCGGTTTGACAGGGCCTGGGCCAATTACGCACAATGAACCATTTGCCGTATGGCCGTATTCGGAAATGCGAGTATTCGTACTCGTACTCGTACTCGTACTCGGAAGTACTCGTACTCGTACTCGTACTCGGAAGTACAAGTACTCGTACTCGGAGACCCGTTCTTGTACTCGGAGGTACAAGTACTCGTACTCGGCAACCAGTACACGGTACTCGGAAAAAAGTACTCGACTACAACACTGGTTAGTTTTGGGATAAATGCAAATGATCATGTGTGCCTTTAAACAGAACACAAACCTCTTCACAGAACAATGAGAAGTGGCACAGGTACGGGCGAGAGTGAGAAACTGGTATACGAAACTGGGTTTCGCAGGAGTCCATAATTGTACATATGACAAGTATTTGGGAAAGTATCTGGACTCCCGAGTAGCACATCTTACCCGTCTCTTCTTCTTCTTTTTCTTCTCTATCGCGTCTTGAAGCAAGTGATTATCGACGACTGTTGTATGCTCCTGTTCGTGAGGCATGGCAGTACTCTGTGTCTGCAGAACCTCTGGAATTGGGAAAGCAATGCCGACATGATCACGTTTAACAATGAAAAAAAAAGCCGATTTCTACTTCAGTTGACTCCTCACCGTCCCACACTTAAATCGAAGAGCAAGAGAAACTTCTGCGTCACACACTGCATAACCCAAGTCATTACAAGGTAGTTATACCACGTCTCAAGTCGGTGACACGACATTCAAATCTAATGTGACAAAGGCATTCCTGTCTCATCCCAAGTCATATTTGAGATCCTAAATGGCAATAAATATCATTATTTCCAAACAAAAGTGCAAGGCTTGCTCTTACTATATATTTCTGTTAAAAACAAAACTGGCCTGACCATGACCATGCAGTATCACTTGAGAATTGACATACACCTGAAACTGTCCCCTGACTGTTTACTCTGTGGAGATTCTTTTAATTCAAAACACTTGACGATGCGAGATCACTTGAGAGTTAAATGAACATTATTAATACACCTTTTTCTTGTCGGTAGACCGAGTAGGCCGTCTCTTCGTAGTCACTTTCCAGGATGGACTTGTTGCGGGACCGTCCACCACCCATCTCGGGGGCACTCGAGACATGCACGACGTTGACCTCGGGGACACTGTGCGCCGGGGACAGGGTCCAGGAAGCAGCGCTGTCCTCCCCGTCCGCGTCCCTCTCCGCCTGCTCGTCCGAGGAGGACTCACCGCCAGCACGGGGAAATGGATACTCGTCCTCCCGATCTAGCGCGTCATCGGAGGCCCCCGCGGTGTAGACGCCGCTGACAGCCGGCGCGTCATCGCTCAGCGGCCGGTCCTCGGCGACATTCTCGGAGCAGGACTCGGAGGTGTCCGAGTCCGTGTCCGAGAGGCGGCGGGTACCGCTGATCGGTATGTGGATGGTGGTGACATTGGGTGTGGACGAGGTGAAGGGGATGACGAGACGGGTGGGGGTCTCCCTGCGATCGAATAGAGGACTCCTGCTGGAGTAGGAGCGAGGTCGAGTTTCTGCCGATGTGGGTTCTGAAACGTGGATAACGACAAAAAAAGTTAGGATGAAAAAAAAAGGAGCTTGCCAGACACTTTTACCAGTGGTGTAACAAAAGGGGGAGGCACGCCCCCTCCCACTCGAGACCTGTTCCCCACCACTAGTACCCCCTCCTTGTAACGTTTGAAACTATTCGCTCTTTTCACACTTCCGCCATGGGCATGCAGAGCCTCGATTTGGCAACTTTACACAATAAATATAGCCGGTTCAGTGATTCCCGTGTCGGGGTTCAGATCACGGAACCGGCTATTTTTATTGTGTAAAGTTGCCAGATCGAGGCTGTGCATGCTCAAATGGCGGAGTGTGAAAAGAGCGAATTACCAAACCCAACGTGTGCCCCTCTCCAGAAATTGATGTCCCTTAAAAAAAAGGACTCTATTGTATTACACTAGTGTATTTTGCCGCGATGCAGTGTTTGCCTAATGAAAAAAATAGTTTGCCACTGACCGTTCACAAAACGAATATAAAACGACGTACGGTTCGTCCGTAATTAAGACTCATTCATTGCTAACTTTATATGGTTCTTCCGTAATAACTTGCGGTGATTGCCTCGATCCCGAGTCTGTCAGTGATGTCATTGTCAACCAGTGGGTGCGTTCGAGTAGCTCACCCGGATCGCTCGGGTTAGCCCCCTGCAAGTTCGATTAGCTCTGACGTCACGACACACGCATGCGTTGTTCATTCCAACAAACGGACAAATATGGCGGCCGGACAGCGGAAAGACCAAGTGGACCCAAATATATATTTTATTTGAAGTCTGAACATAATTAGTTATTGATCTCAATCATCTCACTGCGACCATACAGAGCTTATAATTCCAGCCCAACTCATCATTAATACCTATAGCATTTTATCTCCAGTCGATATTGTTTAATTTGCCTATGTTTCAGATACCTTAGCCGGTTAAAATTGGATTTGTTGTTCTGCGAAAAGGAAAGAAGTCGAAAAAGATGGAAATAATAGCAAGAGCAGAAGTTGCATTGATTTAAAGGCGACATAATGTTTGTCTAAAGAAGCCCGTTCAGCTTGCCACGCAGAAACTCAGAGACCTCTTGCACCAAAAAGAAAAAAGTCATCGTCGTTGAGAAAAAAATCTCACCGAGTTTCTTGAAGTTCCCTCCCGATTCCTTGGTAGGTTTCCAGGCTTTGTATTTGGGGGTCTGGTTCCTGCACTTGATGAACACTAGCACCGCAGCCACTACGAGGATTAGCACGACGAGGAGGACCAATACCACGGTCCCACCCGCAGACACTGCAAAGATGATTCACCATAACAAATTAGCAACCAAGTCGAGGCTCTTGGTGCTAAACAATATTCTATGTCATTGCAACCTTTTCATTTTTTTTTTAAATTCTCGCCTCAAAAGAGCTAGATCTTTGGGCCTCCATTTCATTACTAATATGAAATACTCATTCAAGCCAGGGGTTCAAGCCGTGGTTAGTTACATACCGAACCGTTTCCAAAAGTAAGTACAGGTACGCGAATTAAGTCCGGCGCCTCATAGGTCCGACCCCGCGCCTCATACTCCGACGCCTCATAATTATCTGACGCCTCATAAGTCCCAAACATAGATTGTCCGTTGTCGGAAGTATGAGGCGTCGGACTTGTGTCGGAGCTATGTGGACAAATCCCAGAGTCCAATGCCTCATAAATCCGACGCTTCATACTTTCCCGCAATTTCGGATTATGAGGCGTCGGACTTACGATGCGGCCCCGTACTAGTCCAACGTCTTTAATAATAACTTAAATCTGCCTTCACCTGACGTTAGGGGCGCTATTCATGTCAACATGTAGTTTTCTATTTTTACTAATCTTCTTTAATTTCGCTATTTTAGAGCGTTGGGTGAGGCTCTAACCCCTCATCAAACACACTAGAACCTTCAGGCCCTCTTCCTTGTTGTTACGACGAACGATCTCGGAGCCTGGGGAAATAGGGGAGCACCCCCTCCCCATGTAGAATTGTTGGAAAGCCAGAAAAAAAAATCAAATTTTAAATTATTATATATCCATTGAGTGCCCCCTCCAGAATATGAGACCCCGTAAGTGCCCACCCTCCTGCAAATTGGACCCAGGCGCGCCACTGCCCCGGCCCATCACATTAGAGAAACAATTCTATACAGCGTAACGTCTTTGATTGTTAAACAATCACAAATTGTTAACAATCTGTGTGAATAATGCATCTTTTCTACTGATAACCCTCGGATGTTATTTGAAATACATGTCTTTCGTGCCTAAGAGAAATTAATTTCATTATGCATACGTTTGTTTACTTCGGAACAATGATGTTTTCAGTTGTAAAAAAATAACCAAAACTGATTATACTTACTAGCCATGGCGTATACCGTCACCTTTGATACGACGTTAATAAGTTATCTTCCTGTTCTTATCTTTGTAGATTTCGCACGGCAATACTTCCATGAACATCACCTATTCTTCTTCTTCACCTATTCTCTGCACAGGACTATAAACTTCCAATCACTCTGAAACTCCCAGTTAATGGCCGAGCAATACCAACAGCATTAGCAACTCATCACATTACCAACAATAAAAACCAGTCAAATTGTTTTCAATTTCTGATTCAGTTCACTGCAAATTCCAGGTTCGGGCGGAGACGACCAAATACCCAGCACAATATCCACCATGTTGACTTTGCTTCGTGTGAACATCAGTGTAAATTATAAAGGAGGGATTGTACAGGACTAGTCGTCTGGTAAATAAAACGTCAGAAAATCCACGACATCGAGAGGGAACCTCATTGAACACGCACCCGGCGACCGTTGAGGACCGCATAGAACTCCCAACCGCACCCCAACAGAGCCCAAACGAACCCGGTCCTCACCTTTGCCATTTTCGAGTCGGCCCAACAGACTTTGTCAAACTATCATCACACGTGCATGTACTATGTTGGCCCACACAAACGCTTACCCAAAAGCCCTGGTATACCAGTGCGGGTTGGGAAAAAAACCCTCAGAAATCTGGACCGATTTATCTCGAGATTGTTGGCTGGGACCGCGAACAATAATCATAAAGTCAACAATGTGATGTGTTTACATATACGTCACCGGAACAACGTAGGTCTATAACTTTTGGTATCTGTATTGTGTAGGAGTGATCGTATAGATAATAATGGCATTAACACTGATATTGTGTTTGTTGGTCAAAAGGCTGGGTTTAAAGCATTTTAATCCAGTCTGGTTGACACTTGCGATCTCATAACAGAAAGTACCCGAGATGCGACTGGAGATGCGATTCGTGGCGATCACTTTAGATATGATGCCCTTAAAATCAAAGGTCTTGGAACCGTAATCTTGTGAGATAATTGACATTTCCAAAGCGACTGTATTTACTGTATATGTATTTTATTAAAGCCGTAAGGCCTATATAGAAACAAATACATGCGCTTGGCGAACAGGAAAGAACAGGGACGCAATTGGTTTTTTTTTTCTGCAACCAAGTATAACGCCTTTAGTCAATTACCATAAAGCGCATGCGTCAGGTGGTAACGGAATATTTTCAGACTTTATTTCCCTTAAAAAAATCTTCCACAGCCATGAAACAGAAAACAAGAGAAATGTATTTCATTGATCAGTAGCATTTTTATCCTGCAACCAAGTATATATTACGCCTTTAGTCAATGGACATAATGCGCATGCATCAGGTGGTAACGGAATATTTTCAGACTTTATTTCCCTTAAAAAAATCTTCCACAGCCATGAAACAGAAAACAAGAGAAATGTATTTCATTGATCAGTAGCATTTTTATCCTGCAACCAAGTATATATTACGCCTTTAGTCAATGGACATAATGCGCATGCATCAGGTGGTAACGGAATATTTTCAGACTTTATTTCCCTTAAAAAATCTTCCACAGCCATGAAACAGAAAACAAGAGAAATGTATTTCATTGATCAGTAGCATTTTTATCCTGCAACCAAGTATATATTACGCCTTTAGTCAATGGACATAATGCGCATGCATCAGGTGGTAACGGAATATTTTCAGACTTTATTTCCCTTAAAAATCCTCCACAGCAATGAAACAGAAAACAAGAGAAATGTATTTCATCAATCAGTAGGACTTCATAAACACAATTAAAGGAAGAACAGTCCTTAATGGGTGAAAAGTGTAAAATGCGTATCCGACAATGGATCCTACGCTACTGCCATAACCTTTATGGTCACTGCTCTATGTTCCGACACCCCTATGTTCCGACAACCCGCACATAAGACTGTGTTACTCCCGGGTTAGGGATAGGAATATCGGAACATAGGTGGGTGGGACCATAGGGGTGTCGGAACATAGGTGTGTATAACCTACCTCATCACAAAAGCGGGGGCGGATCCAGTAATTTTTGCAGGGGGGGGGGGTTTCATCAGAAAATAATTCTGAAAGGTATAGACAGTTTTTTGGCTCTATCTGTATTTTTTACACAGGCGGACATTATTGTTGTGGGTGTCAGAGCAAGGGGGGGGGTTCGCATTATTTTCAATGAATTGCTACGAAAAAAAATTGACATAGCTTGGGGTTGAACACCCCCCCCCCCAATCCGCGCCTGAGAAGTGCAAGGACGCTAGTTCGAGAAAATGTTGCGACCAGGGCCCCATGGGTGCATACCTGCAAATAAACTCCCATAGACACTAGTGCTAAATGCCCATACTTCAAAATTCTTTTAAAAATACTCAAAACTCTCACATGTATTCAAGCTGCACAGAAAAATGATGATCAATGTGTCATCTTTCATTTTCTTTTCAATTTATGGTGGGTTGACCATTGACTTTTCGAGATATTTTCACGCAAAGAAGACGACCCCTATTTTCCCCAAAGCGGAAAAGTAGCCATCTTGAAAAACGATCCCTCCACAACATGGCAAAATAGCGCCACTTTCGAGCCCAATAGCATCCAAAATGCTCAGAATTGGAAGCCCCAAGTCCGGGCCAGAGGTTCACTACCATATCTCTTCAATTCCCCAATTTTACGGCGCTCAGAACTCTCTAATATAGAATATTTTGAGGGTATAACTTTTATTCATGAGCTTGGCGGATCGATTTACCGGTATGCACCCCCATGTGTTGATAAATTTCAAACACTGCCCGGCTACGCAGCAAGCTATGTACAGTTCAAACAACAAAACGTGTACAATGAACGGCGCCTCAAGCGTCAAGGGAAGTCTAGCCCTTTCCAACCCCTCATTTGACGACTTTTCCAACGCCGGTCGCAGACCGGCGGTTTCCCGACAGATTTTGGTTAGCCGGCCTCAACTCCACCCCGGCCCCGTGCATGCATGGTTTTGACCTGATTTATAGAAAAAAATATAAAAGAAATAAAAGCCAAAACAATTACGCGAGAACAATTAAACTTATGTTCACTTGGACTATCATGTTGGTAGAGACATCACGAAAAATATATTTTCGTGAAAATTAAGTTTTCAAATTGAATGAATTGTAAAACATCTTTAAAAAGTATCAGAAAGGCTATCTATCAGCTTTCAAATGGGACATTACAAATCTATACAGTATACCCAAAATAAATTAAAGTAGTTTATTATCCTTTTTTGTTTATGTTTTTGAAAAAGAGGTGTGTCGGTTCTTGTACATTTTAATTCCAAGGCCCGTAGCGCAATTCTGAAAACAATATATATTGGAAAACCGAATAGAGTGGAGATTGAAGAGAGTTTTTGTTTGTTATCGGAGGAATTTCATGAAGACATTTTCAACAGGATACGAACATACCAACCAACTTTCAGGCACATAGCCTTTGCTTTTATACAGAGCATGGAATTCACAAGACAGTAGCTTGAAAAATGTAAGAATTGAATAGTTGAAATCCTCAACGTGACTGCAACGCAGAGGAGTAGCGGACCGAGACCTAAAAACAAAAGGCTTGCGATATTAAACAGAAAAACACCTGGAACGATCTTCAACGGCATGGAAACTGCAAAAATGACCGAGGGGAAGTGTTTGCGCCTCGACATTTCGGAATAAAAGCTGCAGGAATGCCTGGCCGGGCGTTCACTCTTCGCTTGTGTGTCGTGGGAGTTGGTGTTCTGCAGCATAGTGTCAAGGATCGGACCGGCCGCAACACCATGACCTCACCCGTGCGTACCCCCGTGCTGCTCTTGGCGTTTATGGTCGCGCTGGGTCGGACCGCGCCCACGGACTCCATCGACAGGGCGGTGCCGGCTCAGCCCCCGGTGCCGTGCACTCAGCAGAGATTCCAGGAATGGAAGACGAGGTCCGCCAACGCCCTGGACGCCCTCGAAGACACTCGCTACCAGCTGGACAAGAAACTGGAGAAACTTGGAGAGTTGGCGTCCCAGGAGGATCGTGAGGACCGGGCAAGTCAGGTACGTGCCGCTTGCATATCCCATTCTGTAATTACATTTTGGCAAACAAAATGAGGGGAAAGAATGTTGCATCCTGAGCCACTTTTTCCATCATTATATTTTCTTATGGTGGGTTATAACAAAAACGTTGAAAAGACATGAATCTGGGACTGAGAAACATTTCCAATTTTGTTAGAAAATATTTGCGCTCAACTCTCTAGGGCCTATATTAGACTCTGTACACAACCCAAAAAGTGGCATCATACTACCCAATTTTCCCAAATGTTAAATCCCATGCCATAGGTTTTATATATAGCATCAATAAAATGAACAGCCGGATTGTGTTCCAGTTTTACCCAATCTTCGGTCTTTGTATCGTAATTATCGAATTCGTTTTGAGGCCATTTATATGTGCTATTGCTGTTTTCCATATTCACGAATAAGAGTAATATTTTTGGAGTCGGACAACATTTGAATCAAAGTTGTTATTTTGTTGTCACCAAATTATGAATAGTGTCATGAACTACAGAACATCTCATAAGGTAGTACTTGTAAAGTTAGAGATAACAAAATCATTATTATTATTAAGGGAAATGGTACCTCGAGATTCCAATAGACTTGCACAAGTAGTCCTATTTATAACTTTAATGACCCCTATAACCTAACCTTATCTTACCCCACCAAATTTGGGTTTTGCATCACGAGCATTCGAGCAATCACGAGCAATATTTGCGACAGGAAAATGATGCCTAGAAACATTAGGGAGACATTGAAATATCTCCCTAATCTACCCTGTCTCTTTAAGATGTAACTTTTGATGATAACTGTCCCCCTAAGGATACATTTACAGAAATTTAACTATATATAAATTCATTTTGTTTGTCCAAATACTTTATAAATTGCTTATGCACACTGTTGAATTGTTCAAAAAGTACATCCGACACCGTGAAAATGCCCAAAGGGCACCACGCACTGCTTTTACGTGCTTTATAAAGTAATTGTATGGATATTGAGAAAAAAAGAATAATAAAAGTGGCTTGTAATCCCTTATGCTTACTGCAAAGTTCTAAACTTTCCAAACGGAAATGCATTTTGCTGAAGTATTGTAATCTGCAAAATATTATAAAACCTCCCATGTAGCGTTGTTGTAAGGCTTAATCTCTTCACCATTGCATTTATTCGTTTATATTTGAACGTTTGTCGTTTTTTTTTAATTAAAAAGGCCATCTGTCTGCTTTTGATCTGAAAATATGTATTGGTATTTTTCTTTTCCTCAGTTGAAGGACTCCACTGTGAATGTCTTACGAGAATTCTTCCAGTTTGGCGGCCTGATCTTTCAATGTCCTGACGAGGATATCAAACGTAAGTCTGTATCGAAAGTTTTCCTTTTCTTGCTCGTCTCCGGTCGTTTTTAGTAACGATAAGAGCAAGGTCTGCCTCGAATACGGCTCGTCAGTTCTCCCTTTTATATTTATACACATGGTGAGTAAAAAAAAAAAAAGAACCGAAATATCGGGACTATTGTTTTAATGAAGTTCTGTATGTTTCGGGTTTAACCTCGATCTTGTAGCACTTTCAAAATCTAGGATATAAAATCCTAATTCATATGCTTTCTTTTAGTACAAGAATCATTTAAATCACTCATGTACTTTTTAAGTTATGAAATCTGAAACAGAACCACCTTTCTAAAGTTCTGTCCACGGATCACAGAAAAGGTGTGCCTTCTTTCAGCAAAACGAAAACAATTCACACACATCCCTATGTGAGTTGATTTCGTTTTGCTGAAAGAACGCACACCTTTCCTGTGATCCGTGGACAGAACTTTAAAACGGTGGTTCTGTTTAAAATTCCATAACTTGAAGAGTACATGAGGTGATTTGAATGGTTCTTGTGGTAAAAGAAATTGGAAAAGGAAATTTTGAATTGGGCATTGATACCCTAGATTTTGAGTGCTACATGCAGAAATTCACTAAAACAATGGTCGAAAAAAATCTCACTCTTCACTGTCCTTAAAGATGAATCCCCGTGCTGTTTCGGGTTTAACCTCGAAAAATATATTCGCTTTTTTCAATTGCTATTTTCCAAGCAATATAGATATCGAACGAAAAAAAAACGCCCGACAAGGATTCTGCTCTCGCTTTCCTGCACAAAATGAAAACCCCTTTTCAAAGGGTTGCCGACGCCCAACATAATAGGATTTTTTTTCTCGTTAAAACATACAAATTGAACATTTGTTAGGAGAAAAAAAAGTTTGCTTTAATAGGACGGGCCACACATATATAAGGATTCTAGGGAACGAAACTTCATAAAAATGACAAAACTTGTCCCTAAAGGTTTCTTGAAGTCTTTTTTGGGGGAAACTTTGTTCTGTCTTTGTTCTATTTATTGAAAAAAAGAATACGAAATGGCATTGTAACGAGACATGGTGAGTTGCGACTCCCTCCCACACGGACATTAGCAATGCCAATATTGTATAACAATTTTCGGAAATACTGCAACGTGTCTTTAGTTAATGGTTTTTCTTGTTTAACCACGACTCTTTATGATTGCTGAATTGTTGAAGTAAAACCTTTTCCATGACTTTTTCATGCAAGAAAACGATGGAAGCTTGAAGAGAAACATTTTCATTTCCAGAATTAAAACACAATGTTGGATTTTTTGTCAGTGGTTGAACCCCCATCCTTTCCTTCTGTTCATGTGCAACCCTTTCCAATGATAACCATACAAACCCTGTTTTATAATTGTACTTGTACCCCCGTTTTCTTACAGCGATCGTTTATCAGATTGGAGTAGAAATCCTTTCGCTGCACGAGCGGCTCCGCGACATTGTGAACGAGGGTGTCCCGCACTCCACCCCAGACTCTGACGAAGACTCGTCCTCAAACTCTGCTTCACGATCACACCAGTAAGATCAGGGACTAAACACAATAACTCTTGAAATACAAAGGTTCATTCAGTGTTGCACGAGCACTGTATCTCGGAAACAGAAGATATAGCCTAAAACAATCCAAAAACAAATAAATAACAGATAAGACACACGGAGAAACATGAAACCGGGAATGATTTCAAACGAACAGCTATGGAATCGGACAGTAACTGAAAACCTAACCCACAAGTCTGCCTGCAGGCAGAGATATTCCTGTTTCGTAGGAATATGCCAAAAATCTAGTAAACCCGAATGGTCCGATGGTTGATCCTCTTGGACATCAAATGATTTGTCCAGCTTTCATAATGCTTGTGAAGTATTTTTTTTTTTAAATTCTTTTCTGTTTTTTGTTTCCAGAACAAAAAGCCAAGTGCAAGAGTCTCCCAAAGAGGAAAATGACATTGCATGCATCCTTCGCGTGATGATCGAGAAGAAGAAATCGAGGGAGGATGCTGAATCGGAGTGCCAGGGATCCGAGGTGACTGAGAGAGAAGATCAGATTGGATGCATCCTTCGCGTGATGACCCAGAAGAAGAAATCGAGGGAGGATGCTGAATCGGAGTGCCAGGGATCCGAGGTGACTGAGAAAGAAGATCAGACTGGATGCATCCTTCGCTTGGTGATCCAGGAGAAGAAATCGAGGGAGGAAGCTGAATCGGAGTGCCAGGACTCCGAGGTGCCTGAGAGAGAAGATCAGACTGGATGCATCCTTCGCTTGGTGACCCAGAAGAAGAAATCGAGGGAGGATGCTGAATCGGAGTGCCAGGGATCCGAGGTGACTGAGAAAGAAGATCAGACTGGATGCATCCTTCGCTTGGTGATCCAGGAGAAGAAATCGAGGGAGGAAGCTGAATCGGAGTGCCAGGACTCCGAGGTGCCTGAGAGAGAAGATCAGACTGGATGCATCCTTCGCTTGGTGATCCAGGAGAAGAAATCGAGGGAGGAAGCTGAATCGGAGTGCCAGGACTCCGAGGTGCCTGAGAGAGAAGATCAGACTGGATGCATCCTTCGCTTGGTGATCCAGGAGAAGAAATCGAGGGAGGAAGCTGAATCGGAGTGCCAGGGATCCGAGGTGACTGAGAGAGAAGATCAGACTGGATGCATCCTTCGCTTGGTGATCCAGGAGAAGAAATCGAGGGAGGAAGCTGAATCGGAGTGCCAGGGATCCGAGGTGACTGAGAGAGAAGATCAGATTGCATGCATCCTTCGCGTGATGATCGAGAAGAAGAAATCGAGGAAGGAAGCTGAATCGGAGTGCCAGGGATCCGAGGTGACTGAGAGAAACCAAAAATATCCATTCATGTAAAGGGCAACTTTATTATCAATGCTTCATGATCCATCGTGACCAATGATCTACGGATGCAAAGTTACCGCTCAGAAAAAAAGCTGTACATTTTGGTTGTGTTCTTCCATCATGCAGTCGTTTTGTCAGTCCACATTGAGCTTTCGTGGGTAGATTTGTACAAAATTATTTTACGATTATCTGATTTAGCAAACATATATATTTATAGGATATCAATCTAGTTTACATATAAAATCAATGGTTATGAATATTAAGTACATTATTTTATAAATTCCTTATTCTTGTAAAATTTACGTTAATAGTGCAACAAAATTGTCCTGATACATGTATACATGGCATTTGAACTATTTAGGGATGATGTGGAAAATCATATGTCACTTTTTTGGCCTAATGTCGCACCAATCTTCATCTAAAACGCATACATGTATGTAAATCTTCATTCGATCTAGGCCTATATATTTTTGTCACCAGCGTAACCAGTAAATTCTACAGTCATTTTCACTCCATTTTCCACTGGAAAAGTTTCATTTAATAAGCTATCCGATTTCACAAAGGTTTTGTATTCTCATTAAAACCATAATTCATTGGTTAGGCTGGCATAACGTTCCTGTTCTGATTGACATCTTATTGGGGCATTAATTGTGTCTGATTTCCAAAATTGGTTAATATTTAGATTGCTATACGAACTTCCGTTGTTTTCAGAATTAAAAAGTGCGTACAGCGCACTGGTGCAGTGTGGAGTATGCAAAACTCATTTGAGTGTGTAAATTTGTCAGTGAAACGAGACAAAAATATTATGGTTTGGACATTCATGGCCTTATTAGCTGCCTCTTAAATTACAGGGCGGTTAAAATGGGAAAAGTAATTGTGAGTGCGTTGGATAAGTTTTCAAATTTCAAATTGGAATTAGAGCCCACAACGGAAAAGCTAACATGTCGTAAAGCAACAGTTACCCCAATCGACCCGCAAATATGTCCACTATTTAGGCAGTTATCCCTATGGGGACATATCGATGATGGTAAACATTCTTCCCCCTTCTCTCCCCCCCCCCCCCCCCCAAAAAAAAATAAAAATAAAAATAAAAAAAATCGCAGAACCCCCAAGATATCCCAACCAGCAGAAGCGAAATTTGCCCCTCGCCAAAGAAATGGGACGCCAATTCCCTTCACTATGGATGTATGAATTATAAATATACAATGAGGTCCAGTTAGCCCCCCCCCCCCCCTTTAAGAATATGCAGCAACTGGCTGGTCTGTCGGCCCCTTAACATTTTGTAGTGGATCCACCCTCAATAGGTGTGCCCCCCCCCCCATAAATGTCTGGTGCCCCCCATAAAAGTCTGGTTCCCCCTGTCCCTATCCCCCCTCCCTCCATAAAGGGCTGGTACCCCCCTTGCCGTCCCCTCCCCCTCCCGTCTCCCTGAATAGATCCTGCCTAAACGCACCCGATGGACAGACGGTACATTTTCGGGAAACCATTGCGTGGTGGAGGCACACTGTACCCCGCCCACAATAATTAATTTACCCTTTCATCTGGTAACACTGTTATATTATGGTGTTCTATATCTGCCATCTCGCATCTCGCTATACGAATCTCGCATGTTATATCAAAACACGAGACACATTTTCTTGTCAGACGGATGGGGGTACCGGAAAGGGGCAGTGAGTCGGGATATTTTATTAAAAGTAAACCCTGGTCCTTTTGATAGCCTTACATTGGATTAAAGTGTAATCATCTTTATCGCCCGAATTTATTTCACTGACTGCCAGTGAAACGCAAGCATTGCGGAGAAGTCTGTCTACAGAGGACAGGGTGGTAGGCATAATATTTTCTCATTTATAAAATGTTGAAATCAATTTTTTTTTAAATATAAAAAATCGGACCCGCCTTTGTACATACTAAGAAAAAATGACCCCTCCTCCTGCAATAAATAGGAAAGGAAAAAAATGTTGCAAACCTGACGCAACTTCAGCGGTTGTACAAAGTCTGTGAAGAGTCAAGACAATTTTCTAAGTATTTCCTAACAAAATTGAAAATGTTTCTCAATCCCAGATTCATGTTTTATCATCATTTTGGCACTGAATGACCTTCATTGAGATTATATATGGAGATAAAACAGAAGTGGCATCATGTTCCAACATTTTTTTTTTCCAGGGAAAGGAAAAAAAAAAGAGACGAAGGCTTTCATTTATTGCCAACTTCGACTGGAAGCCGACAGACCACAGGTACATGTTTCTCTCATCCTCTTCCTTCGGAGATTGGAAGCGGTGGGTGGGTGGGGGGGGGGGGGGGGCTCTCATCAGCAAGAGGCGCGGGAGCTAATCCAGCGGCCTCTTTTGCAATACAACGTTGCCGACAAGGCGATGGATTTTTCATCAAGAAGTGTGAATTGAGGGTGCCACATTTAAATATCCCCTCCTTCGTAGACCCTGATTATCTTTAATCAATTTGACATGATTTTGACAGCCCCCCCCCCCCCCCCCCCCCATTTGGATTGCACGCATCTTCCCTGGATCTGGACCAACAAGTTAAAGAGTTCATTATTTGCTTTTATGTTTTTGAAATGCTGCATAATTCCATCAAGAATATGAACAAAGTCTGCCGATTATGATGGAGGCAAGAAAAGACCCAAAAAAAGCGAGAAAAAAAATCACAGGTTAATTTTAACTTGTCACATACAAAATGTATAATGTTCTTGATAGACACGCCCCTCGCCTTAATTTAGGGGCGAGCGAATTTTAGTCTGGTTCGCCCGACGTTCACTACTTCACGTACTATGAAAGGCATAGCGACTATGGGGATCAGACATAGAGCGCCATTTTACAAAATTCAGGCACGAAAATGTCGAGTTTTGAACCTGCACCCAAAAAGAGGAAGAAGAAACTGGAGCCATGTCCAAACCCACTGTTTGTCAAATGGCTGACGGAGTGGCGTGATGAAGCCGCCAGCCAAGGGAAGAAAACTCAATACGCCTTCGGAAAGGTAGGAAAATTTAAAATAACATGTTTAATTTTTTACGAAGTGGCTATCGTTACGGCAGTCGTTGTTTAGCGCCCTCTACGATACTTTTTTGATACGCACGCAGGTATATAATTATTTGTTTCCACACGTTTTAGCAAGCAGCGCGGCAGCTCAGGCGATAGATGGTAGGATTTTGCACCGCGAGGTTGCGGGTTCGAAACTCAGTTTTGCACTCGAATTTTTTTTCCTTTTCTAACCTGAGGCTTTGGAGGATTTTTTTTAAAAGGGAAATAAAGTCCGAATTTCATAACGTTCAAATTCACTTTTTTCCTTCTAATTTTATATTTTCTTGTCATGTTATTATAAAAGTTGCAGTCTACCGTAACAATAGCCACTGCGAATTTTTTAAAGTGTTGTTTACCTTGCCCAGTTTCCGGACAACTTCCCCCTGCGTCTAAACTAATTTACTAAAGAGTTCGGCTTGGGAAGAATTCCATGCATGGACATCACTTATTGTGGCGATCGTGTAGTGTAGGACCCCTGTTTTGTTTTGATCAAATTAGAGTAAAAATTTTTTTGGTAATCCTTACTTTTAGGACACCTCTATTTTTACGAGTTCTGTTCAAAACTGACTTTTGCAGATGACTGTCCAGTACCAAAGTGACTTTTGCAGGCTAGAGCAGTCTTTTTACTTCAGATAAACTCATGTTAGTTGTAATTTTAAAAGCACTTTCAAAGAAAATGTGACTTTCCTACCTTTTTTTGCAGTTCGCCATCTTGTTTTTTAATATATTTTCTGTTTGTCATTGCCGTCTTTTACCCCTCATAAATCAAAGCCCTGCCCTCTTTCTACAAAATTAAACCTGCTGATATTCAAGAGGTGTCATTGCCAAATGTTCAAACGTGCCAAGAAATATCAGAATGTCACTTTTGAGTGTCATTTAGTCAGCTGTTTTGGTGAGTCTTTTAACCTTATATAGGAATGGGGTCCTAAAGGTAAGGATTACCATTTTTTTTTGTATTGCTCAAATATCACCTTTTCAATGTCAAAAGCAGACTTTTCCATGTTTTCATAATTAATTTTCTAATGACACCCGTTTTGCAATTTTGAACAGTTTCTTGGGGTAGAAATCACAATTTTCAGCGCGCCGTGCATGCTCACGGTACATCACGCAGTGATCGCCATCTTTATTTTCGGGTTGCGTGTACTCCTAGAACTATGAGGCTCCGCGTGAGCGGAGGTTGCGTGTTGTCGCCGCGCTGTCATCGTCATTTTACCCCAAATTTCCCTCAAAAAATCAAAACCCTGGCCTCTATCTACGACATACGTGTTTATTATTGAGAATGTCGCCAACTAGTTTGGTCGGTCTATTTATAATGATTTTAAAGTGGATTTTGTTGGCCGTACACGACACGATTGCCTTATTTTTCCCTGCAGCGATCGGCCATCAGAAAGTGATATCATGTCCTAAAAAGTCCAATTTAGCAGGGAAAATCTGAAAATATTGAAGCATTTGAAAAAAACACTTGGAACTTTCTGACCGGTCTCATAGATAGCGTTTGTGCACAGGGTGCCAAGTGATGTCCAGGTATGGAACTCTATCCGCCGGCTTTGTTTCAATAAACGATACTTAGCATGTTTAGCCAGCTAGATTGTACAGCGCCCTCTTTGACGCGTATACAAGTATAGTCCGAGTAACTTGGACCCAACTTATCGCCTTTTTAACATTCGGACATGGTCTGGAGATAGTAGGGTCCAAAGCAAAAGCGCTTCCATTGCACGACCAGACGACACAATTCTGCATGTTACATGTATTTTTTTAATGATCGGTTATATTTTTCTCAAATGCACCTTTTTTTTTTCAGGCACTGTATGCACTCAAGAAGTACCCTATGCTGTTGAAGACGGGAAGGGAAGCCAAGATATTGGATAATTTTGGCGACAAGATCTGCAACATGCTGGATCACAAACTGGCTAAGCATATTGAAGAAAATGGTAAGGCAGTAATACTTGCTTATTCCAACAGAATCTAAACCTGCAGAGCTGCAACTTAATCAGTCACAAGTCAAATCACAAGTCAAATCACAAGTCCATCACAAGTCAGATCATAAGCCTATCACAAGTCAAAGCCCAAGTCCATCACAAGTCAAAGCACAAGTCCATCACGAGTCATATCACAAGTCCAGCACAAGTCAAATCACAAGTCCATCACAAGTCAAATCACAAGTCCAGCACAAGTCAAATCACAAGTCCATCACAAGTCAAATCACAAGTCCAGCACAAGTCAAGTCACAAGTCAAATCACAAGTCAAAACACAAGTTCATCACAAGTCCGTCACAAGTCAAAGCACAAGTCCATCACAAGTCCATCCCAAGTCAAATCACAAGTCCATAACAAGTCCATCACAAGTCCATCCCAAGTCAAAGCACAAGTCCATAACAAGTCCATCACAAGTCCATCCCAAGTCAAATCACAAGTCCATCACAAGTCAAATCACATGTCCATCACAAGTCAAATCACAAGTCCATCACAAGTCAAATCACAAGTCCATCCCAAGCCCATCACAAGTCAAATCACAAGTCAAATCACAAGTCCATCCCAAGTCCATCCCAAGTCCATCCCAAGTCCATCAAAAGTCCATCACAAGTCCATCCCAAGTCCATCACAAGTCAAAGCACAAGTCCATCCATAGTCAAATCACAAGTCCATCACAGGTCAAATCACAGGAAATTTGTGTGTGCCTGCACTTGTCAGAAATTCACAAAGAGCATACTATACCAAAATACAGAACAGGTAGCAGAATGGCTAATATTTGACGGATTTCAAAAAGAAAATTCAGCTTAAATCATCGTGGAAGCTCTCAAATCATGCACGAAAGTGGCTTTCAACAAAAGAGTGAAAATTGACAAACGATAAAACCACGCAACTTAATTACAAGAACATACATGTAGTGCACATTTCTCATCATCTCCTTGAGACCGCGCACATTTTTCAAATATTTTTAATTAAAAAAAATGTTAATAAGCTATTGGGTTAATGATTGAATGTTCAAGTAGCATATTCAGTGAAGCCCTAATCAATAGCCAGCAGAATATCTGAGTCAAAAATTATGGTTGGATGTGAAGGGCTTTAGAAAACAAACAAATTCGTTGAAATGCACCCATGGGTTCTCAACCCCTGATTGAAATGATATTTATAGAAGGTTCATGTTGTCTTTGTTAGGAGATCCATCACTTTCCTCCTTGGCGTTAAATCACACTGGATCCTCATCGGCATCATCACCACCTCCATCTGCATTGTCGAGAGATGATGACATACTTACAATTCCTCCAGCCCCAGATGACGGTGCTCTCGTAGATAAAACGGTAAGGCCAAAAACAATTAGTGTGATTTCAGTAACACCCTAAAAATTATCAATGCAGGTACTGTAGTTAGGAAAATATTTTTTTTTACTTGCGTTTTGATTTGTGTGTTGGTCCTTTATTCTTACTTTGTTTACTTTAGGGAACCTTTAACCTTAACTTCCCAAATCCTCCAAACTCCTCTTTGCAAAATGGAGGATTTTGCAGGATTGAGGCTATATGGCAAAACTGTGTATGCACTTTTTCAAGGTCTTAGGCCAGACCTTGTGTTGTTTATGCTCAGCTGTGCATAAATTTAGGCCCAGATTATACTTGAAATCCTCCGCACTGCCCCACGATGTCACTGGCTCTACCTCAACACATTGACAGTGATTGCTGGAGGATTTTGCAGGATTGAGGCAGCGGTCACCCTTCCAAGGACCACATTCAAGAAACAACAGAAGATTTCACAGGAACCAGTTCAAGCATCATCCATTGTGACCACGGTGCTCCATACATTTACAGGAGAGAGTTCAGTTCACAATATGCTCATAAAAGCAAGTGAATCTATAGATGTACCTTTAATACACAAATTTTCATTAAAACATGTTGTCTTATTTCCAGAGGAAGAGACGGCCATCAAACCGGGGTCCGAGGGAGTACGTGCCCGTCTATAGATCAGGCCCATATGCATTGATCCTTACACTCTACAGGGAATATAAGGTAAGCTGCAAATAACAGTGAGTAATTTTTTAATTTATGTTGATGATGTTTTGCTGTTGAAGAACTTGATGTCAACGATCTACTGTCAGCACTCTTTATGAGTTTCATCCCGAAGAATATATTTTTGAATTGCAATTTTCTTAGCAAAACAAACGTTATTGACTTTTCAATGAGAAATCGAAAGAACTAGTCGTCCAGTGTTGAAATAATAATTACTTCATCGGTCAGACAATAATTCAGATCTCATTGGGAAGACTGGTTCCCGCCCCCTATCAGCCTGGATAATAACTGGGAACCAGCCTAGTCGGGCACATCTGTTTGTGACAATTGTTACAATTCATAAATGATTTGTTAAAAATAATACATAAAAAAAAGAAAATACAGGAAAAATAAAAACTGGTCATTTTGTGATGATTCTCAATTCTGAAATTAAAAATTGAAGTTAAAATTTTGAATTTTCATTTATTCCAGAAACCTACAAGTAGAGGCTTCATGCTGAAGACTGAACTCCAGAGGCAGGCCCAGCCGCTGAGCGAGAAATCCTTCACAATTGTAAGAAGTTGCCCCTTTTTTTAATATCCATAGTTTTGTAAATTCACAATGCAGTGCCCTGCCAAGTATTGGCCTTTAAAGGCACGTACAAACGTTGGTCATTACCCAGACACGAACCCACTGATTAATCGAGGAAAGCCCTGCTCAAAGAGAAGAAAAGAATTGTACCGATTACCCTGTGAAATTATTCCACCTGAAACGGTATCATTGGGGAAAAAAAACCAATCACTGAAGGTGGTCTCTAAAAAGTGTGCCTGTGGACACATTTTTTTAACATTTGATACTAATTGTTATTCTGCAAGGATTACCCATCCACTTTGATCTTGAATCTTTGACACTAACAGCCTGAAGGAGTATCTTGTCCCAAATAAGGCCCATTCTAGACGCCATGCTACTGCTGTGCCAAACTTAATTACTTTGATTTCTTTAAAATTTGGCACGGCGATAGCATGGTGTTTAGAACCATTTGGCCCTCGACGGGGCTGCCATGCTATCGCCGTTCCTAATGGCAGTAGCACGGCACTGTTTTAAACGTCATGCCATTGCCGTGCCGAACTCAATGTAATTCGAAGTCGGGGCAAACAGTTTAGGAATGCACATGCTCACAATACCCTCTCTCGCATCCGCATCTCAGGGAGAGAAATTGGTGCGAATTCAGTGGAACACCTGTAAGACAAGGTCCTTGGGACTTTACAAATCAATCACCTTGTTATAACAGGTACCTTGTATTATCAGTAATGGAAAACAAAGAAAAACAAAGGCTTGGGACATAAAATTGTCCTTGTTATAAGCAGGATGTTGTATTAACAGTGCTCTAATCAGGGTTTGACTGTAATTTGATCGTGCTGCAAGTTCATTGAATTGCTTGAACTGCTTCAACCTGGCCAGTTATAAGGTTCGACTATTAAGTTTGGCATTTAAGCAACTGCAGTGCTGTAGATGATCTATAACCTCACTAGGTTTAATTAAGTTTGGCACGCGGGTAGCACGGTGTCTAGAACGGGCCTTAAGGATTGTACAATAGAGGGCGGTGAAAAGTGCGTAGTGAGTGATGAAGGTCAATGATGTCTGCTATTGACGTTGTCTTTGCACAGCCCGATCCTGGTTCTCACTACACGGCATGGTCATCAATGAGCACGCTGATAACCAAAGGCTATGTGTCCAAGGAAGGCAACCCAGCCAGGTAAGTAATGCTTATTTTGTTACATGAGCCAGGTTTACGAGTCACATCACGAGTCAGTTTTTCAATCGCAAGTGAAGTGGCAAGCTATAAAAATGAGTAATGACAAAAACAACCTTTGCCATTGTTCATCCCCTGTTACTTATGAAGTCAGTTATGATTTTACTTGTGATTGACGTGTGATCGACATGTGATCGACTCATGATTGACTTGATTTCAAAACTGATGTCTTATTGATCCAGACTCTGATAAATTTAGGGCCAAACGTGTGACATGTTTGTTTGTCCCTGTTGCCTTTGTTATGAGATGAAATTTACGGAAAGATTACCCTACCTGGTCATCACTAATTTTTCCCTGCAGTGACCTATCAGCCATCAGAAAATGATAATAGGTCCTAAAAAGTCAAATTTAGCAGGGACAAATATTGAAGCATTTACTGAGAAAACACTTAGAAATTTTCAGACCAGCCTCATAGGGTTTGTGCACAGGGTGACAAGCGATGTCCAGGTACGGATGTCCTTCCAAATTTACAAATACTCCAGGGTGGGATTCGAACCCACGACCTCCTTTCTACTAGTGCAGATGTCCAACCCATGCGACCACTAAGCTTGCAATCTGATATGGACCATTCTATAAAGTTAGGGTACGAAGTGTGACAATTTTTCCTGTCCCTGTTACCATGGTACTTTTTAATTTGCCATTTAAGTGTCATCAAGAATGACTTCAAATGATTGTTTATTTGTTGGGTAGGTAGTTTGCTATTCATAATCACTCTTGGAGGATGACTGCATTAAGGAGTGCATCAGAATTATAAAATCAAAGATGGCAGATGTAACAGGGACAGGAAAAAAGTGGACCACAAATTTATTGAATGACCCATTTTGAAATAGTATGGATATTTTGCCAAGGAGCAATGTTAAGTAGAAAATTACTGAAACATAAATCCATCATTTTCTTCTGAAAATGAAACCCTTTTGTCAATTAAGTAATTTCTCCATTAATTCACACTTTTTTTTATTAAAAAACTATTTTAGACCGTGATTACATTTTGAGATTGAAATCCATCTACTGTAATTACATGAGCATACAGTTTGATGATATTATTTGCCTTTTGTTTTCAGATATAGTGTCACTGATGCTGGCTGCCAACTCGCCAATAAGCTAGAAACAGTAGAAGCACAGTTTGGACAACACACAAGTAGAAGCCCTCCGATTGGTGGAGCAGTGCCTGTAAATAATAAGCCCACTGCTCCAACTGGCCAATCAAGGAAGAGGAAAGAGGCGACAAGGTAACTTGATTATTTGATATAGTTAAGACTAAAAAGGTTCATCATCAGGTCATTACAACATGTGTTGTGAAACTCTTCTAGTTCTGTTGGTTTTTTTTCGTTTGCCAGATCTGATCCCACTCTCCACCCCACTGCACTTCCACATACTGCCACATCCCTTGCCACACGCCATGACGCACCACTATCCCGCGACGCACCCCCACCCACACAGGGTGATAAGCTGGAGTATTGGTACATCGATGACCATGGGAACAAGGTGATCACTAAGGATGATGCTGCAGTCACTGTTGATGGTATGTCTATCATTGATTCAATAGGCCAATCCATTAAGCCCCGCCCACTGCGTACGTGGGCAACCGAACACTTGCACATCTTTAGTGCATACAGTCGCGTTTTACTATACTCTCGAGGACAATGCTTTGTGTTTCCCTTTGTCCTTTTAATATAACACTTCCATAGACTAAGCACACAAATCTACCACAGAGGACCGTTTCCAACAAAAGACCCAACTCCCGAGGACTGAGAGGATCGGTTGTTCTCCCTTTGTGTGTCGGTCCTCGGGGTTATGTAGAACACGTACACGTACCACAATGCATGCTGCAGCTGTGCGCGTCATATATCGGTGCTTGCATGTCAGACTTTTTGAGCATGCATGTCGGACATTAATCGAAGCTGTGATTTGTCAAATTACAATTGGGCAGGGTTTTCAGTCTATTCTCTAAGAAGGAAGTTTAGAAGACCAAAAGATTCAAATAAATTAGAGGTTTGTGTTTGTCTTCGTAAAAAAAAGGAGGGTGATGGGCACAATATTTCTTCAATTTTTAATTTTCCTCTAATCTTACCCCTGGGGTACGTGGCTGATGTAAATGATGCTGATATTGATGCTGATATTGATGATATGATCTTGATGATGATGATGATGATGTTGATGATGAAACTAAAGACATTGGTTATTGTGATACCAATGACAATGATAATCGAGATAAAATATAACATTCCTGATATTGAAAGTAGTGCACCTATCACATAGATACTTTCTTACTCCACACACAGATGAAATATCCATAGGGTTTCTAATCAAAGCTAACGAGACTGCATTGAAGAAGTCTGGAGTGCGATACAAGCGTGACTACTCCATACCAGCAGAGGGATGCATGATCTTTGCCTATCTACACAATGATGATGCCATTGAATATTGCCCTATTCCAACATTATCTGTCAATAAAGGTAAATATAATTAGAAGCATCCTCTTGTGTTTTCTCTCTGAATTGGCAGAACTATTTTCTTATTTTTTGTTTTGTTATTCATATGAACAATTCTACATATTCATTTAGTTGCCATATTTTATAGCAGTATAGCTGCTACATCAGTTTCCAACCAGCCAACTGATCCGCAAGCTCGTTGGTCGAGTGGTAAGACATCTGCACTAGAAAGAAGAAGGTCATGGGTTCGAGTCCCACCTGAGTGATTTTTTTCTCACTTTCACTCGTGAGTTAACACACTGATTACACAGTGTTTATACGTCGGTAAAGGGCAATACCTAATATTGATTTACATCATCGTGACGCAAATTCCATCTTATGAATAAGTTACATCCATACAACTGTTCTAACTTTAGGAAACGGCTCTTCTTGAATTGTTGGCTACTGCCTGGAATCAAATTGTAGGGAAATAGATTCAGCTAAAAACGGGAGAGTCATGACCTTGGTTCTGAGTTTGGAATTGATATATGTGATTCTGTTGCAGCTACATGTACGCCTAACTCTTAAGCCGGCCTCAGGTCGACCTGCGATTTTCTTGCGCCACGACGGAACCGTCGGCATCAAGCAGAAAAATAATACGCAGGTCACAAAACTGAGAAATCATGTGATTCTCTTGCAACAAGCGGCATCCCGACGCAAAATAATCGCAACCATGCTCATGTCACCCAAGACGCGACGATCCACCACGATTCCACAGCATAGACGGTCGTGTGGCTTCTTTGACAATAAGGGAATAATTATGTGCTTGGCTGGTTCAACTCGAGCCTTTATCAGCGCGCATTCCCCTGATACGGTCTTAAATGTACTTGTATTCCCATTCACAAATACTTTTTGAGTCAAAAAGTCAACACAAGTCAAAAATTATACATTTCCAACGATTTTGTCGAACAGTTTTACTTCGTTGTTTTTTAAAACATCCCTCTAGCTATGGTATGGAATATCCTCTCGCGAGCAGTAGTAGTAAACAATCTCCTTATATGGTGATTGACGCGCGCGTGGTGCTTACTACGTGATGTTGAACGTGTGGAACGCGGAGCGCCGGTGTAGTGTGCTGATTAGCTACACAATTGAAAAGGATGATCTTGATGCGTGCACGATCACGGCGTCGTCGTAGAAGTTGAAATTTTTCTACTCTTGCAACTGTTGATTTTTTTTAGCGCCGACTAATTCCGATCGTCTTAATATCATGGCAGTTACGCTCAGGTCGCAAAAAATCGGCGACTGAAATGTTCCCGACGGTTGTAGCTCAGGCACAGCTTGATCCTGAAAAGTCAGTCGCCCACTGATCTGTGTCGTCGCAAGGTCGACCGGAGGCAGGCTTTAGAGTGATTATTAGAACAATGTACTGAGAATGAATAAATTTGCTGCAAACTGCTTACTGACTGTATTGACCTGGATTATACAAATTAAAAACAAAAACGTTTTTAGGGCAGAACGAATCTCATCTCTTCTCTTTTTTTTTATTGCAATTTCTTAAAGTTGGATCAGGGTCAAGGAACGACCCCCCACCTGCCAAAGACCCTCTCCCCAACCTCCCCTCCCTTACCACATCCAAGACCACCAGCCTGCCGAAAGTGCAACCCAAAAAGAAGAAACCTCAGCAACGACATGTGGATAAACAGACAGACTCTCAGCTCAGCACTGCATCCTCTGTCTCAACATCGAGTAACCGTTCGACGACAAAAACAGCCAGCCAACTTAGCCGTGCATCTTCTGATGCGATCCCTCCGTCCGCATCAAATGGACTTAAGTTTGCCTCAGACGTTGCGCATCAGGCATTCAGACATTCTCAGTCCAGTGAACTTGACTCACAGACTAGCTCCGTGTCTGCCTTCTCAACCGCATCGAGTATCTCTGATAGACTAGGGTCTTTGCAAGGCTCAAGCAGCCAAGACAGTCATGGGAGGAGCTCGGCAAGCTCCAAGGAACCCCCAGTGCCATTGTACGTGTTGGAACCAGGGACCTTTGACATAGTGTTGTGTGTGGATAACTGCGAGACATCAGGAGGGTAAGAATTTGGGATATTGTTTTGGTCAATTTCCTTTTTGGGTCCCAGGTAGACTGAAATTTAAGGTTGTATGGGCTCCGTGCACAAGTACCCCTTCAACAGCCAGAAAAGGAGAGTTGGGGAGACCTAGACTGGTTCCCGGTCCGTCCACTGCGTCTTTGAAATGATCCAAAGTTATTGGGGGCGGGGATTAGTCTGGGAGACCATCGCAAGTTAAATTTGAACATATTCGCGTGTCGACGACACCTGATGCTGCACATGATAACACTGTGGCTAATAGCTTTGGCACAATCAGGAAGTTGTGCGTAATTCGCACGCAAAACAGTACAGTACAGTACGCTCACACTGTGAGTTCCGTCCACAGGGCTCTCAAAAGTGGTAAAAACGCGCCCTCTGTTGTTGGCGCACGGAGCCCATAGCAGGAATGAAACCTAACTACTGAGTTGATGCTGGCTGATTACTTTGATTGAGACACAGGCATGCAAGAAATGTACAAATACTAGTAAAGAACAATTGTTTTGGGGGGCTTTATTGAGCATCTTTTTTACGATTTTGTGGATATTCTGCGTAACTTTTTGTCTAAATACCCAGATTCCTACCCATGATCAAAAGCCAGACACTTGGTCCATAAAAGACGCCCATGACAAGATATTGATTTGAGCACTCACTCCCACTGCTATGTGTACTGACATGACTATGTGATCATAAAGAGATCCATGCTATTAAAGTGTGGGTTCAAGACCCACCAGCGCTGGCTTAGGAAGCTCTAAGACAGCAGTGAGCGGTGCACGTAAAATTAAAGGCAAAACTTTAAAGGCAATGTTCATTAACTCTCCTGTGGTTTGACCATTCAAAACACCTCAAAATCTGGGTTCTGGCAAATTGGAGGACAAAAAATGCAGGACCTTTTAAAATCGTCCAGAATTTATTGTTACTGCACTACCACACCTTTCAATTCCTTTCGAAAGGTATTGAAAGGCAACTTACTGAATTTGCCCACAGAGTTGCTTCACCTTCCGAAACCTTTCGAAACATTTCAAAGTTCCAGCACTATTTCACCTTTCAAAACCCTTTTAGTCAGCCAAATTTAAAATGTTTTGAAAGGTCTGATAATTCTCTGCCAGTCTGCCAACTGCACTGGGCATAGCAGGGTTAAAGGAAAACTCAATATTGAAAGAAAACAAATGTTACATATTCCACCGGCTTTGGTCACCCTCAACAAAGACAGAAATTACAGTTTTTGTCAGAACATAATTTGTACTGTAAGTGCATTCTAAGTTGTTGCAGCTCATAGTTGATTGTTGTCTGACTCTGAGTATTGTTTGTGTCTAGTTAAACCTTCTACTCGTCGCATGCGGCACGAAGTGACATGGGTCATTCCACCGCGTTGGGGAACAATGTGTGACATATGACCATATTAGGAAAAGCATAAATGCCTTGCTAGCAGTTGCTCTACATAATATTTGTTGTTGGGTGTTTCACTGCTGCAGAAACTTTGAAATCATTTCCATGTAGTTTGCCAAAAATATTAGCAAAAAATGTCATTTTGGAAGTAACTTGACACCGTGTAAGTGTTACGTCCAAATATGACATTTGTACTTTTTTTTTTTAAAATTTCTGTGAAACATTACCCAAATTCACTTTACGTACTTCTTACTATACATGCAACACAATAAGAAAAGCTTTTGTTACGGTAGTCGGGTATCAAATGGAGCAGAAATGATAGCTTGGTTGTGTGGATGTAACATTGACACGGTGTAAAACCCAAATGTCACACTTCCATTGAGTGAGTTTTACACCGTTACATCCACACTTGAGGTATTATTTCTGCTATATTTGAACCCTGAATATACCAAATCAAAAGCTTTTCTTGGTGCTTAGGTGTCCAGTTGTAAATATGCAATGTCAGTTTGGGTAATATTTTACATATGTGTAAAAAAAGGCAAAATAAGAATACTTGCATGTAACATTGCCATGTGTCGATGTTACGTCCGAATTAATACATTTTTGCTCATATTCTTGTCAAAGTACTTTCAAAATGATTTCAAACTTTCTCAAGTATTGAAACACCCTAAGACACATATTATTATAGCAATTGTTTAGAATGCATTGATACTTTTAATAATATAACCAAATATATGGATGTAACAGGCACTGCTTCCCAACCCGATGGAATGACCCACATATGATGTGCACAAAGTCCATAGACGATATACGTTACTTCGTGGTGTACCCGACATATTGTTACATTGTCCATTGTGTGTAAGTTCATTTGAACATCAATCTACTTGCATATCATTTTCATTGAATTTCGTTTTCAAATTGAATTTGCTGGACTTGTGCAGTTCAGCCAAAAGCAGAAAACAACTGCTCCTGCCGGAACTCCAGAAGAACGGCGTGATGTTGGACGTCCGCAAGCTCCAAGTGGGCGACTTCCTGTGGATAGCCAGGGAGAAACGGGTGCCCGTCCCCGGCATGCTACAGATGCCCACCGCCAGAGAAGTGGCACTAGACTACGTGGTGGAGAGGAAGAGAATGGACGACCTGTGCGGTAGCATCACGGACGGTCGCTTCAAAGAGCAGAAGGTGAGGGATTGTCATTCCTTTCCAGTGGAACTGTCTGTTTGTTGCTAGAAGTGCGTGAGGAAAATCTTGCCAGCTGGCACATGGTAAATATATGTGAGGCGCTCTGGCAAAATGACACGGAACTAGGCACAGGCCATAGTGGACAAAAAGAAATTGGGTTAATTTTTGTCTTCAATATTTAGAGTATTGACATTTGTCTTCAATGCATATTTTTAAGAAACAGTATAAAAATCATTGAATTGCAGCGTTTTTTTTATTGAAAAACAATTAGCGTCTTTCATTTTCAAACTACCGAAAAAATTGAAATTTTGAAGGCATTTTTCTCAGTTTATTTGCACAAGTACCCCCTTAGTGGTAAGAAAGGGAGAGTAGGGGGAGACCACTGGGAGAGACATTTGAACGCATTGCCGATGATGCCTAACGCTCACACGATGCTATGGCTTTTTGCACATTCGGAATAAAATATGTTGTGCGTAAATCAAAGTGGGTAGTGCCCTTCACCGACGTATATAAACACTGTATACTCGGTGTGTTTCCTCCCGTGTGAAAGTTGGAAAAAATCACTCGGGTGGGACTTGAACCCACGACCTCCTGCTTTCTAGTGCAGATGTCTTACCACTCGACCACTGAGCTAATGGGATCGGTTGGCTCGTTCGGTTGGCTGGTTTGAATCTAATGTACATAGCAGGGGGTACCGCGTTAACTATTCATATGAGTATACAGTGTTTATATACGTCGGTGAAGGGCAAAACCTAATTTGATTTACATCACCCCGACGCAAAATTCCATCTTATGAATGTTGTGCGTACTTCACACTATACGCACGCGAACCAGTGCGTGCACCTGATGTGTCCCATTCAATGGGCACTCGAAAGTGGAAAAAAAGCCCTCTCTTGTAAACGCACAGAGCCAACAACGCACAGCTAGATACAACAGTGCTGTTCAATAAATTGTGTAAATAAACAAGAGGCTTAGAGTTTTTTGGTAAAAATTGTAGCATTGCATAAGATCAAATTGGGCCTCAACTTTATGGTCCTGCTTTGCCAATAATTTGTCACTAAAAAACCTTTTCATCAAGACAAAAAGCAGCATGCACAGTAAAAGTCATGAAGGAACAGTGGACTTCTCAAAGCATTTTTAATTTCTTACTATTTGTGTAATATTGCTTTTAAGATTATCAAAGCTTTACTGATCTACTTTCTATAGATTTTTGTTAACTAGAGATTTTTTCCGTATTTGACATTTTCTGATTCAGTTTCGTCTCAAGCAGTCTGGTCTACGTAAACCGATCTATCTCATTGAGGACTTTGGTTCCATCGATCATCTGAGTATTCCAGCCTCCACGCTGAAACAAGCAACCATCAACACACAGGTCAGTCACTGTGCCTTTCATTGAAAACAAACCGTTGCAGCGAAGTTTAAGATTGCTGTTAGTAATAAAATAAAGCCCTGGGTCTCCTGAAGAGAAACATCCACTCGTGCAGCAAATCAGTCAAGGAAATAGCCTACAAAACCCTCATCAGACCAAAGCTTGAGTACTGTGCATCAATATGGGATCCTCATCACAACAACACCAAGGAATCTCTTGAGAAAATCCAACGCCGAGCTGCTTGCTTTGTTCAAAATGACTACAGCAGGAACTCAAGTGTCACAAACATGCTGGCAAACCTCCGATGGGAACCTCTCCAAAGACAGCGCACCAAACGTCAACTGTCGCCAGAACATCATAAAATCCACCAGACTGCAAACCGGGACTCACATCTTAGAAACCCCACCATTCAACAAAAACTGTTACCAGTACTCATTCTACCCCCGGACAACTCGCGAATGGAACATCCTCCCACCAGACGTTAGAGCTCGACCTGACATCAAATCTTTCAAAGAGAAACTGGATCAAATAAACATGGATGAGCTGGTCAAAAAAGCTCATTACAAAATTGAATCACCTCCACCACACTGACCTATGCGTTATAACCACCATCTGGTGGTGCTTGCATAGTATCCAGCAGAAGCAGAATCAACATTTGCAATGAAAATGTTGACAGAGTGCTCCACATCACAATCACTGTCATCATTTTGATCTCAGTCGACCATCGTCGCTATTGCAGAGGGTGAAATTATTTAAACAAAAATATGCTGAGGCTTGATTCATCTTGAGCTGTCACGCACAAAGTGTCAAATTCGTCCCCTGACTTTTAATGCACTTACAGTACAAACATTTGACCAAACACATCCATTGTTATTTGAAAACAAATATGGGAAACTGTTGGATTGTGTACCCTAGCTCTGATGCTTTTTTTCATCAAAAAAGGTTCTGTCTGTATATGTTTCAGGCGAGAGCATGCGGAGCCATGTGTGGTTTTTTCCTGGTAGAGACTTACTGGAAGTTTTCCTTTTGGTGGTGATGATAAAACCATCTTTACACAGTCTTCGTACTCTAACTTTAAGTGAATTTCTTTTTGAGATCATAATATTTTTCAGAGTATATGACAAAATATCAATCTTTGACTGTGGATAATTACCTTAAAGCTATAGTCCATCATTTGTAATTAGTGCATTTTGTTCGTTTGAAGCAACAAAAGTGTTCAACATTTAATGAAGGATACTGAACAACTTACTTGATGAAGTTTCAGCTCAGCTTCAGCTTTATATTCCGAGAAAAACAGCATTCTAGGATCTCAATTTCAAATCAAAAGTTGCTAAATCATGTTTCGAATTGTTTTGAATTGCAGCTTTACGCGATGTCGCGCACTGATCCGACGAATTATAGCAACTGCGCACGCATCGAATAACAAAATGAACTACTAATTAAAATTTTCCTACTGTGCTTCTTAAGACGCACCGTTGGAAATGCCTTCTTTCGTTGATCTCTTCAAAATGAGAGCTTGCCAGAAAGGATAATTTCACAGAGAGTTTAGTCCCCTTACTATCTTTCAACCAGTATGTTATTCAACAATAATTACTCGAGTAACTTTTTTGAATAGCTGCAAATGATGGACTCCGGCTTTAATTAGATTGATATCAGCTCACTTTTTCGACCTGACACGTCGTAGGCAATGAGTTATAAGACTGTATCTCTGCATTTTTTGGTCCACTTTTGTGTAATTTTTAATGACAAACATGATTCGTTTTGTATTTGTCCATGTGTACAGGTCATCGATGGTTTCTTTGTGAAGCACACTCGCGACATCAAAGAGTCGGCCGCCTATCTGACCATCATGACCAGATACCTCAATGGGCATTACTCGGTACGTTTGAACCAGATGAGCCAGAATATACCAAGAATGTGTGAGGAGTTGAAACATGGAGCAAATTTTGATTAAGGACCGTTAGTCAACAGCTGACTTTCCACTTAATATTAGGGTACCACCATCCGGGCAACTTCGGTCAAACTTCGTCATGATTTCTTGTCTTGGAAGCTCTATGAAATTGGTAGAGAGGGCTTGATATAAAAAAAAAGTTTTAACGTAAAGTTTTTACAAATTTTGGGTGATGGGTTTGTGGTTTTTTGGCTTTTTTTACGTACAATAATTCTCCACAAGTTTTCTTCAAACGGTACACAGCATAAACTTGTAACAAACATCGACCCTGATCCCGAGGTGTGGATATTACTGTGACATCATGATGACATCATCAAGGATCACCTGGATACCTGTGTTTTACTTCAATAGGGTACCCGGTTCCGGTACTACCTGCAAATGCACACCACTACCCCATCACCCTGCGTTTGTCACAAAAACAACACAAAACCTAAACTTGAACTTGTGTTTGTAAGAATGAGAGAGAATAAAATAAGCTGCAGTTGAAACCAATCTAGAAACTTTGAAAAGTATTTGTAAATTTGTTGGTCGTAGAACAAGACCCTGAAAGCTTTTCGCCGTGACGACCTGGATAGGCTCCCTAGCAACCCCAGCCTGACGGACAGGGTGCAGAAACTGATGACGTTCTCGGAAGTCAATGACTCATCTGTGAAAAATAAAGTGAGTTCAGTGGAAAATCTGAAGACACCAAAATGTGGTAGAAATGTCCTGTGGCTAATGTTGGGTTTCCTTTTATAGGTTTTCCCGGCTAATTTCCTAAAATGTTCATTCACTTCTGAAAATTGGTCATTCATTTTCGACTGAATTTGAGAATCGCTCTGAACACGCGTTTCATTTTCACTACCAGAGCATTCGATTCCATTTCAGTTCAATCAATTAAGTGATTGAGCAGCACCTTTCGTTTATGTCCATTCAGATTCGTTTACAAGACTTCTTTTTTGCTTTTAGAGAGAGATTTCAAATATTAATCATTCTATTTTACTTTCATTTAATGCCATCGGCACTAGATGCAATTAGGGGTTTCTTTTTCATTAACCGTCAGTCAAATTAGCTGTGCCTGAAATCAATTTAGAAAAGGTATGCTTGCGTAAATGAATGCGCCGGTATCGTAATTGGCCGTCTGTTTCTTAAAACCGAATGCCTGAACAATGAAAACGATTGAACTGTCGTTGAATTGAAATGGGATTCAAGACGTGCATTCAAATTCAGACGAAACTGAATGATCGATTTGTAGAAGTGAATAAACATTTCAGGAAATTGGCCGGGAAACCTATATTACAACGTTGTCTTTGCAAATCTCCTGGGTTTTTTTGTGATGAATTTTTACTTTATCCCTTATGGTATAAAATCCTACAACTTATAGTAATTTAATTATTCTAACCCCCACAGAATTAAGTTGGGGTGAAGTACCATAAGCTTAAAAACTACCACAAGTACTGGACACTAATAGGCTAGAGTACTGCATGCTACAAATTACTGGTAGTATTTTGTTGCTTTCAGGCCGGTTCATATATACTTCATGCAAATGCAAAGCAAACTTGATGTCATGAAACATTCACTGCAAAATTCTCCAAATCTGAAATGTTTCAACTTCTGTGGATTCGCAGCGCGAATACTTGCCATCGACGTCACAAATTCGTGTTCACGTTTGCCGAGTTTGAACCAACCTTTAGTTGAGGGTAGTTAGTGAATGGTCACTTTAAACAGCCTCTTGTTGATGCCTTTGGATTCTGGTGGATACAGCAGGTTTGTTGGAATCTGCTACAGTTTTCAGGCTACAAAGAAAGAAACTGGGGGTTATGCGTTGATGTGTAAAATTACATTATCGGCTTTGATTGTGGTGAAATATCTCTTTTAGTTTTCTTTGCCACCAATGTAAGTAAGGATTTGCAAATGTATTTGGTGGTTTTTTTGGGGGGTGGGGTGTTTTTTTACCTCTGTAAGTCCGTGTTCTAAAATCCTGTTGTTTCTCGCAGAACACAACCGTGACAGAGACATTTGCCAAGCAACTCCTGCAGTTCAGTGGACTGACTGCCGAGAAAGCCTTGGCCATCACGAGACTCTACCCAACACCCTCCCAGTAAGAATCATGACCATCTCCCTCTAGCTTGCTGGATCAGAGCCTAAAGTTGCTGAGCCCAGAAAATAATTGCTCAGTGAAAACAGCTTACCAGCCGAAATGTCATGCAATGTATGTTGCTTTTAACTGGTTCTCAGCCTTTTCACGCTTAGCAGCTGAAACTGCTATTCGAAAATGTCCGCTCAGCAGCAGCAGCTCCATTCACGCACCTGTCGAGCAGAAAGTTTTGCTCAACAAATTTATGCGCTGAGCATGATTTAGCTGAGAGCCAGTCACAACCGTATACAACAGATGAGATTTTGGCTGGTAACCTGTTCTTATCGTGCTAAGCAAGTTTCTGTGTTTAACAGCTCCATGAAGTTAGTCCCAGTCTTTACCCGGTTCGTTTGTGAAAACGTCACACACGCGCGCGCACCGCTGATTACGAGCGCCCATTGGATAAACACTCAAGTTGCGTTAGCTTCCGGTTCCAATGGTTCCAATGCTACTTAATGACCAGTGGGTGTGGTTTCAACTGAACTGACGTCACACTAACCAACCAGATTTGGTTATATTATCCCTCGTCTGCAAATATACATTCTGTGCCAAGCTGTCCTTTCAGTCAAAATCAATCAAGTGACTCTTTTCAACAGTTAAGAATGCCCAGCCTACATAAAAGCAGGATTGACTGGCCGTGACTGTTTATGTAACTTGATACAGCTTTGCTTTGACTGGGGGTGATTGATAAGCCAGCTGTGCCGACAACTTGCCTGCTTTGTCTGTTCATGGTCTGTTGACTGAATTGCTTGACATACGATCTGACTGTTGGTGACTAGCCTGTGTTAAAAGTATAGCAGGGGAAGTGATGGGAAATTCGCCCTCCATTTTTTTTCACAAGTTGGAGAAAATAATGCATATGTATTTCAGGGTTTTTTTTTAACTTTAAAAATCCTTCCCACCTCTTTCGTTTGCGCAGTTTGCTTGATGCGTACGATACTTGTGCTATAGACAAGGACCGGGAAAAGTTGCTGTCTCTTATCAAATATGGAAAACTACAGAGGTAAGTTGATGTTTCCGTGCTTGTTGGTATTTGATTGATCTCTCCGGGGAAAAAGAAAAGTGCACATAAAAAAAGTTTGTAGAGGCTGATCCAGAAAATCATAGGGGGTTTGGTGGTGGGGGGCAGGGGGATGGAGGACTTAACAGAGATCAATTCAGGTCTGCATTCTTAAAACACCATGGGGGGGGGGGGGGGGGGTAGAGGCGCTAAAGAAGAAAACCAAGGTGGGGGGGGTGGTTTCCGCCCCCTCATCTCCTCTTTGGGGGATTGTTTTGTTGCAGAGAGTGCTATGACCTTTTTACATTTTTGTGTGAAAAAAAGTCAATCAAAGTGGTGTGCATTTATGGATAGTACAGGAACCAGTTACCTGATTGAAAAAAAAAAGGGTACCTGTTAGACCACAAAAAAAAAGTCTCCGGTTTCTGGTATGGAGCTTGCCCCAAAAGTGGTGCGGCGACGCGGCTTTCTTTTTTTCTTTTTTCTTTTTGGCTTCAAATGTCGGCTGATGACTGCAAATGGTGCCAGACTAAATTTAGTGCAAAATATATGGGAGTCCAGAGAGGCCACATAAAGCTTATACTCGATCGTAATCATCCCATCTAAAAACACGTTAAAATTGTGCAGCAGCAGAATTCCAGTCAAACCAGTGAGTTTGGAGGTTTTGAGACATCATCTTACATTGAAAGAAAAAAATTCATTTTGCCGATGCGCATGGCTACGGCGATGCGCGCGCATACCAGAAACCGGAGATTTTTGGGGGGGTCTTAAAGAAACCCAACGCCAAACGTGCCAGAGGTTTGCGCTCTCTGAGTGCTTTCTAGTTTATACTGTGATTGTTTTTCTGTTGTAGGAATGTTGGCCCAGTTCTCAGCAAGCTGATTCACATGTTCTATTGCACCGACCGACCACTGTCGTGATCTCAGAAAATGGACAAAGCAAGACTCAATGATGTGCCCAGGTCATCACCTAGCAAAAATTGTGATATCATCAGCATACAGGCTTCCGATTGGATAAAACAACTGTATTGTTGGGCACATGCTTGCTTTACTCAATCCCAGAATTGTACCCCATTCCTGAAATTGTCATTGTGCATCAGTAGCTTTTGACTTTATCTTCAAGAGATGAGAACATTTTAGAGTTTTTAATTGATAACAGAGTAAAACCTGGAGTCCAACTACCTACAGGGTTTTAAATAAGAACAAGAAATGAGTTTTAGAAACAAACCAGAATAATCTGCTTATTGCAACACTCAGTCCAGCACAGATATGTGACGTGTCATCACAAAATGAGCTTAAAGTCTGACTTTTTAAGAATTGAGTATTTATATATCTGGGTTCAGCAGAACAAGAGCTTTCCAATGGTATACAGGGTGGTTAAAAAAAAAGGACACCCACATTTGACAGCAATTTTCACCTATTTTTAAATATTATTTTAAACTGTTGATTAGTAGCTAATAAAGTACTGACCTTGAAGCAAATGTGACGAAAAAATCGTTGCATTTGCACATTTTGTCGTTGAGCTATGCTAATTTGAACATTTCATGTGCGAAACCTGTTTGTCCACGAAGGTATACATTCCCTTGGCTTGACTTAGCTCAGCTATCGGAGCTTTATTTGAAAGGGCATGACATTTGATAGTTATGTTAGGTCATGTTATGGAGCAATGAACTTAAGCCAACAGCTCATTGAGTAGATGATCTTAACACCGACATGAATAGTTGGACAGCTTCAATAAAAGTTACCAGGGCAAATTATATTTTGGTGGGAAGGTTTTTAAATTTTTATGAACTACGAAAACGTCCTATTTACATAAAATAACCAGTGGACAAGACTGATTTTGGTAACTTGTATTCAAATTAGCATAATATCACTATTTTTGCGACTTTTACTAAGCTTTTTTCAACATTCATGTTTAAAGGCCTATACTTTGCTACTATGTGTAAAAAATAAATTAAAATAAGTTCATTACGTAGGTGAAAATTGCAGTCAAAAGTGGATGTCCTTTCTTTTTTTTTAACTACTCTGTACAACATTTAGGGATACTAAGTACACTAATGGAAATAATGACCACTAACTTTCTTGAAGTTGTAAGACGGATTCTTGAGAAAATGGCATTTATAAAATCCAGCAGTTGCGTTACAGTGGATGCAGAGTCAACTCATAAAAACGGGATGAAAATGGATTTTGAAGATGTTTGACCTTTAATGGTAAAATGGTAAAACAGGACTTACAGATTAAGGTTCACCCGAAAATAAACTTTTGACCACCCCTTCAAATTTTGGCTTTGCCCCGCCGCACTGCAAAATGACAATTTCCAATTTTAAGCTTCTTTTGTGGGGACAGGTCACATTATATTCATTTAATTCAGACATGTGCATCATTCATGTGTATTAACTTATTGAAACTTTGAAAGTGCCTAAAAGGATGGTCTTTAGTCCAGATTAAACTAAACTGTGATCAACTGACATCAGTAAGAAAAAAAATGCTTTCAGAGTAAGATTTGGTTGCCCCTAAAATCTGAAAGTGAACATTTAGCCAGCTGCTGTTGAGAAAAGTACATATCTCGGATTGCTTTCGTTTGTGTGGCCTTATTTTTGCCCATCATTGTGCTGTGGTGCTAGAGACTGGATACAGTACTGATGTTGTTTATTTATTGTGGAGATTGGAATGAAATACAGAAAGTGAACTGAACCTTTCGTTTATAATATGTGTATTTCTTTGCGTCTGTTCATTTTAGGCAACAACTATTAAGAATGTACATGTATATTTAAAAAAGGGGAAGGGGGGGGGGGGGCCTCCACTCCCACTATTACAAATTTACAAAATTGCTAAGCTGCTAGTTTGAGAACGCGTTTCTCTTCAACATGTTCAAACCTCATCTCACATCCCCAAAAGGGGATTTAATTCAATAAATCAAACGTATTTTGGAGTGTCACTGTCATAGCCTGAATAAAATTATCAAATTGGGGTTGACCTTCATGCACCCCTGTCCCGCCCCCTCAAACTAAAAAGCAAAATGAATGTATGTAAATAATAACAAACACAAAATATGATAATGAGAAAAGGAAAACGGGAAAGCAGAGAGTTTTGACGTTAATTTAACTGAATTTAACCACTTTTAACTGAAAAAAAATATATATGTGTAGACACCCCCCTCCCCATCTCCCACCCATCACACCCCTTTAACTGATGGAATTTGTGAACGCTTGTAAATTCATTTTTTTTCGTAGTTCCCCCTAACCCTATCAAAATAGGTAGGCCTATGTATACAGAATATCACAAAAACAGAAAAACCTTGGGAACCAGCGCCCAAAATGAGCACTGAAAACGATCGCTCTCAGTGCTAAGCCATTGTATGAATTCATGACCTTTTTTTTTAATCCTCTTAGTCTTAACAAAAGACAGCACAAAATTTAAAAATTCCTCTCTATATTGATTTAAAATGAACCCTATTCACGGTACCTTGACCTTGATATCTTTTGTACTAATTGTTAGGAATGACCTGAACATCAGCACATACTAATGACGTCACGCGGGTCGTCAAACTTTTACAACGTAAACACAAAATGCAATTCGTCTGGTACCCAGAACAGTTGCCCGGTATATGAACCAACAAAAATATAGACGGGGGCATGTTAGAAACTGTACTGATAATATATACGCGGTCCTACTAAAGCGCGTCAACAAGCGTCAACAAGCGTCAACAAGCGTCAACAAGCGTCAACAAGTTTTAGTAATCGTTAAGTGCGCGTCAACAAATTTTGTATAGGCCTTTGAACAATAAAAACAGCTTGATATGGTAGAAAAGCAATAATGAACATCTTATGCATATCAATTAAAGTTAAAATTATTTTAAAACTTGGTTTTTTGAACGCGAAATGTACGACGAATTTGTCGATAAAAGTAGGCCGCCATCTTGTTTGGATGGCGCTGTAGACTTCACGCATGCGTAGTATGGCTCTTTACACTTCACGCATGCGTAGTACGGCTAGCTACACATAAACAAGATGGCGGCCAACTTTTATCGACAAATTCGTCGTACATTTCGCGTTCAAAAAAACCAAGTTTTAAAATAATTTTAACTTTAATTGATATGCAGAAGATGTTCATTATTGCTTTTTCTACCATACAAAGCTGTTTTTATTGTTCAAAGGCCTATACAAAATTTGTTGACGCGCACTTAACGATTACTAAATCTTGTTGACGCTTGTTGACGCTTGTTGACGCTTGTTGACGCGCTTTAGTAGGACCCTATATACGCGGTACGTATGGAGCTGACATGACATTCAGTATGCAGTAGCTAGTTTTGCATTCGTATAAAACTAGTCTTCAAATCGTTAATCAAAGGTTCAAAGAAGCGGTTAAAATGTCTTCCCTGCTACTCCTGACAGGAGTATTCCTTGTTAGTTTAGTCACCTTATCAGCTTCAAGTGGACTTGGGGGGTTAGAGCCGGCAAAAGTTGACGAAGCTGGAGTCCTTCGCTCGGCCCATTTCGCGATGGGCCAAATAAACAAGAAGTCGAACGCTTTGTATGCAAGTAAAATGACCAAAATTATCAACGCACAGAAACAGGTAGGCTTATTTGTGTGTAAACTGTGTTTGCAATTAATAAAAAAACAAAACAAATAAAACTACACTCCTCAGATTGTGCATAATACTAGTTTTAATACGTAAATTATAAGTCTGCTGTCTCATTGTCTGCCGTTGATTTTCACACTTTGCGTAATCTAATAATACTGTCACGCCCCAACTATCGCATTGGTCCCAACTATAGTTGGGCCTGTCCCAACTATAGTCGGGCCTGTCCCAACTGTCGTTCCACAGTTGGGCTGGCCCAACTATAGTTGGGCCTGTCCCAACTATAGTTGGGCCTGTCCCAACTGTAAGTTCCACTGTTGGGCTGGCCCATCTATAGTTGGGCCACTCCGATCTTTTTATTTTGCGGTGTCCCAACTATAGTTGACATTGATGTACAACTGTAAAACGTTCCCTACAGCTCTGATACACGTCTTACTTTACTGGGGACAACTGAAATTAGTTATTGATGGGGCGAATCTATAGTTGGGCCACTCCAATCTTTTTATTTTGCGGTCCCAACTATAGTGTACATTGCTGTACGATTATAAAACATTCCCTACAACTCTAATACACATCTGACTTTACTTGGGACCAATGAAATTATCTATGGGTGGGGACCATCTGTAGTTGGGCCACCGCAATATTTTTATTTGGCGGTCCCAACTATAGTTTACATTGATGTACGACTATAAAACATTCCCTACAGCTCTTACATACTGTCCGACTTTACTTGGGACCTTTGACATTAGCTATGGGTGGGGCCCATCTATAGTTGGCCGGCCATGGCAATCTTTGAATTTTGCAAAATGTTGCTGTACAATAAAACCCAGCAGCAGCTGGACAACTCATCCAACTAGGCAGTACCACGTGACCGGCCAGCCTTGCGGCATGCATGCACGACGAATACACGGTGCCAGCGCCGCGGAACATTTAATCCAACAAGATCTATCAAGCATGAAGCATCCGGCGCAACTCCAGACCTAACTATAGTTGGGCCGACCCAACTGCCGCACTATAGTTGGGACAGTCCCAACTATAATTGGGACCGATGCGATAGTTGGGGCGTGACAATACTATTATTAAAAAACTTACACATTGAAAGTGCATTGAAATTGCCTTGAGAAAGTGCATTGAATCAGAAGTAGGCCTAAACTTAAAGAAAATTAAAAAGAAAACCTGTCATCTTACTTGCTCCAGACTAGCCCGACTGCGTCTGGCCGTAGGCCTACAGTCATGACAGTACTATCGCAAGCTCTGTAGTACGGCCAGACGCTCAATGCTTCCCCACAGACTGAATTTTTTTTTCACTCTGATGTAGCGATTTTGCTACAGATTTTGATCGAGATCATCTTTTCATCCAGGACAAAAATTTCCAAAGTTAAGGTTCTTAGTCGTAGAGCAACTCATAGTCATACCTTTTCGAAAAAACGTTCTTTGGTCTCAATATTTTCATCCATCTGGCCAAAAGACGACTTTCAGTCATCATCTTCCACAAATATCATCCCGAAAATATCCTCCATGCGATTTCAAAATGGCGGCCTGCATTATTTAGTTCATGACCTCGTGTTTGTATGGCCAGCCGCACCGCGCGCCCGACAAACGTCATAAACTATGATGCATATTCATTATCTTGCCCAAGCACGCCCGCATAATGCATACATTACAACGCGGCCGCCATTTTGAAATCGCATGGAGGACATTTTCAGGACGATATTTGTGGAAGATGATGACTGAAATTCGTCTTTTGCCCAGATGGATGAAAATATTGGAACCAAAGAACGTTTTTTCAAAAAGGTATGAGTTCCTCTACGACTAGGATTCTTAACTTTGGATATTTCTGTCCATGACGAGAAGATAATCTCGATCAAAATCTGTAGCAAAATCGCTACATGAGAGTGAGAAAAAAATTCAGTCTGTGGGGAAGCATTGAGCGTCTGGCCGTACTACAGAGCTTGCGATAGTACTGTACGGCCAGACGCAGTCGGGCTACTTCCAAATATGCCACCTCAAATATAAAAGGAATTCCAACTTTCAAGACAGGTGTAGCGTGTCTTGCTGCTATTGTGTTCCATTTGAAACAACATTGCAATTTTCAATGACATCAAAAACAAATCTAGAGTTTGTTTTTTACTTCATATTCACTATACAAGCTACATGTACCTACCTCGTTAGTTTAATAATCAGAAGAAAAAAAAAATTGGGGGGGGGGGAGAGATTGACAACATTGAAGTTGCTGAAAGGCAAGCCTAGATTCAAACTACACTCATCTCATAAATTCTTGAGACATGGAATAGTACTAATACAAATCAGTTTGTGTTCATCAGGTTGTGTCAGGAATGAACTACTATCTGACGATAGAAACAACTGAGACCGAGTGCAAAAACACAGGCCCCATTGATGATCTGGACTCCTGTGAACTCTTGGACAAACCAAAGGTAAAGACGAAAACAATGGAGGATACATCTTTCTTTTGGTTTTTTTTTTAAGTGAATCACATGAAATCGTCTTATGTTAAATAACTGGTAATCTAAACCATACCTTAAGGTCTAACCAGAAAAGGACCGTGCTATGAATTTCACGCTAAAGCATTGTGAGAAAATCCATGTCTTTGTACAAAAAACAAATTTCTGATATTTCAAAAGTGCAGTTTTGTCGCTATGTTATTTACAGTCTACAGGGTGAGTAAAAAAAAAAGCGGAAACCAAACCCCTAAAATTATATTTCATGTTTAAAAAAAACACGTAGCACAATAAAAAGTAATGACTGGAAAGCCAAATTTCATACGGTACTTTTAGATGAAAAAAATGACTGAAATTGGTCAATCCGTTCAGAAAATATCACCATTTAAACACAATGACCCTAAAACCTGTTTCGTCCAAAAAAATGTGATTTCAAGAATCGTCGTCGCAATTGTTTTCAAACATCACCTGCGATAAAATCTCAGTCAAAACACACAATGAATTGCCGTTTTTGGACGAGACAGTTTTTAGGGTCATTGTGTTTAAATGTTGATATTCTTTGAATGGCCTGAGCAATTTCAGGGTTTTTTTTAATCTAAAAGTAGCTTATAAAATTGGCTTTCCAGTCATTATTATTTTTTGGTGTTACATATTTTTTTAAATATGAAATATATTTTATATTTTTTATATATATTTTATCAACAGAAATGGCAATATTCTTATGCTAGAAATAAAAGTTAAAAGAATAATTAAAATAAGAGTCCGAGATAATTAATGCAGGGATTCCATTCGAACATATGTAAAAAGAAAACACTTCAAGGGCCTTTTAAACATTAAATTGTGCGGTTTGTTTTTTTTATTTTTCAATTCTTGTAGAAGCAGATCTGCGAAGTCGTTGTGAATGAGGAGTTATGGATGAAAGAGAACCCAAGAAAGCTCCTTGATTCCTCCTGCCAATGAGGCAGAGAAGGGAACAGGATCCATAAGAGAGATGGAGATCAGAAACTTGGATGCAAAAAAGTACAAAGAAAAAATACATATACTTAACCCTAACTCCCTAGGGGGTATGCAAAATCATATTGAAATTGGAGGATTCAGGACTGTTAGGGATAGCTATTACAGTGCAAAAGTTGTGCAGTGAAATAATTACCATATTAAAGGGAAGATACAACATTTGCGAACATCAAAAAATGAAATGGTCAAATATCACAAAATACCTTACTGGATTGTTAGGGATTGGCAGTCTAAAGCATCCTGTAAAACCATGGCTCCTGGTTTGCTGACAAACCTGTATTTTTCCAATGGCTGACCAGCGTTGGAGAAAACTGGCTTTTTTTCAAAAAGTGCTCATTTTTTTCATGTTTAGTTTGTCTGCATTTTCTTTGCAATTGATTACACACCTGTGAAGAGGTACAAGCCTGCTAGACTGATTCTTTGACCTTACAATTCCCCAAAGTCTACAAATTGCTCTGTTTCATCTTAAGTGGGGTCTGGGAACCAGACTACAAGAATATATGTTTGGTTTTCTTGGATTTTGGCAGCATCTATGAACCAAAAATGTGAAACAAGTCCGTGTAGCAATATTTGCTATAACATACTAATCCTCCAAATCCATTTATTTCTGAAAATTGCAGCAAAAGCAAATGTTGTACATTCCTTTTAAGGTAGACTTGGTAAAATTTGCTGATAAAAAGTGCCAACTATTTTGGAAATAAATCCCTACATTCTTTAAAAAAAAAAAAAGACTTAATTGTAAAGAGTGTTTTCTCAAAAGTTTTATATTTGGAGCAGTATGTCCCAAATTTTTATTGTGTAAAGCATACCTTGCTATGGACTCCATACAAGAACAGTAGAGGGCGCTTGCACATTTGTGATCGAATAGCGCAAAGTAAACACAAATTATTTAATTCTGAATGTAAAGAAAAACCTGTTTTGATGGCAATGCATTCAAGAATCATGCCTTATTCTCCCTCCTTCTGTTACCGTTGAGGTTTTTTGCATGAATTCCATAGCAATACATTATTAAAAAAAATTTAGATTTGTAAGGGACATATGCAGTATATGTTAAAGGTCACAAATATGATACACATACATGTATTACAGACAAGGGCGGATCCAGGGGGGGGGGCCAAAGGGGGACATGCCCCCCCCCCCCCAACGAAACCAATTTTTTTTTATGTTACCGGTACGTCGCAATAAAGGCATGAGTACGCCACGATCTTTTCCTAAAAAAAACATTGGTTGAAGTGGTCAGAAATTGCCTCAGATCGCACCACAGAGCATCTAGAATCCAAACATTTTTCGGGGCCCTTAAGCGGGTCCCAAACCCCACGCCGTAATTTTTTGACCCACTTTTTTGGGGGGACCAAAAAATGTTTGGCCCCCCCAAAAAAATTGTGTTCTGGATCCGCCCTTGTATACAGAGTGACCGTTTTAGCCGATTTTCTGCTAACTTTGACAGAATTATTTTTAGAAAACGAGTTTGACAGAAAATTTGACAGAATGGATTTTTTTGCAGATTTTTGGCAGCATTCTTCAAAAATGGGTATTTGACAGAAAAACAGCAAAGTTGAACAAAACAATTGTACATTTGTTTTTAAAAAGCTTCAACCCTTTCAAACAAACCCTTGCATAATGGGACAGGTTGGCTGGTCTAGATGCCGAGGTTCAATGGGAAACGGACTTGGTCGTGGCCGGTGCGGATCCGCGTTTTGCCCGAAATTTACCAATAATTTCACAACATCTTTATGTGACTAGATTGCTTATTATGTAATCTGAATCTTAATTAAGGTAATACTACCAATCTGCATGTGATTTTTAAGTGTTTATAGTGTATTTCGAGTAATTCTGGGAAATTTGGCAGATTTTTGATAAATCTGACAGATTTTTGATGTGCATTTAGCAGAATTTGAGTAATGAGACTTGTGCTAATTGCAGCCATTGACATTGAATTGTAGATCATGATTTGGATCCTATTTCGTGAGGATGCTCAGTAGAATGCTGCTTCCAATGTGGTTTGCAACAACAACAAAAAATCATTTGACGATCAGTGACAAGCAATATTCATTGCATGACTCTCTGGTTAGTAACCCGTTTTTTTGTTCACCAATTTTAGCATACAGTCGAGTCTCGTTATAACAAACTCGCTCGGACCTAGCCAAATTGTTTGTTATATCAGAATTTTGTATTAAGAGGAACATCAGTCCCATTCATTGTGCACATAAATGCACAGTCGGGACCTAGGCTTAATGTTTGTTATAACCAGGATTTTGTATTAACAGAGTTTGCACTAACGAGAGTCGACTGATAACACTTGGCATATTTCTGTACATGCCAGCTTATTGAAGTGGTCATTGCTCTCTTTCAATTTGCTTTTGTTCCCCAGTTTTATTTTGGAGACACTTGGGCAATCTGATTAAAAAATCTGATGGTCTGCAATCATTCTGTCAAGGGAAATCTGGTATAAGTTTTATTTATCTTATTTAATTGGTTTCTTGCTTTCTTTGTAGCTGCGATTCTATGAATATAATTGTATGTCCACCAGGTATGAGAAACATTATCCTGACACAACATAATGTACATGTAGTGACTTTTTGAACGCAGACTTGTTATACAATGAGGGACAACACACATGTATACTTATTTTACTACAAAAATCAAAACTTGAAATTAAATTTCTATTTTAAAATAGAAGTGATTTCCAGCAAAAAAAGGACATTTTTAAATCGTATTATAACTATAACTTGTATAAAGTCCCATTAAAGAATATCTGCGGTGATATTAACTTGAGAAATAAGGATATTTATTTTCAAAGGGATGTATGTATGTGTATGCTATTTTGATAGCTTTGCAATAAAGATGATATTATTACAATAATGAAATGGGCATTATTATATTTAAAGTAGTTATTCAAGGGACATAGCATCCAGGGAAGGGCCCAGTTCCTGTATAAAATACGTTATTTATGAAAAGATATTAGTTGGAAAGGCATTTAAATGTAGAATATCAACGTTATCGCGCTGGTTCCTTACTGTAGGCGGCTGAATTGAATGCAAGGACCTTGATTCTTGTTACCTCGTTGTAAATCCTGTATGGATGTACCATAGAACATACACACATCGAGGCTAACCCTGACCTACAATCCTGGCCAAAATGGTTGGGACACTTCCTGAGCCTAGCAACGGTCAACCACTCCTCCGCTCTTCCGGTCAATGTTGTTCTCTCCAGCTGATGGAGCACACACCGCGCAATGAGAGACAACATTGAACGGGGGGCGGGGGCCCAGCGAGATTTAGCCAGGATTGTAGCTTCTCATTCATGCTGATTTGGAAAACCTGCCCAACATGCGCCTGAAGTCCCGCAAGCCCTTCTTGTCTTCAGTCGAATCCCTGGATGACTTTGATCCTAAGACTGAGTGGCGCAGACTCTGGGCAGATGCGTTTTTGGAAGGTCTTTTTTCGCTATGTGTGTCGCAGTTTGATCATATGCAGACTTATACATGTTGACAAGAAATTACCGCTTTTGCTACAAGATGTTGGTCATGCATCCGGCTAGCTCATTGCAAAAAAAAATCAAATCAAATAGAGGGCGCTGTCACCACGATCATTCACTCAGCAGTTGTTAACGGAATGGTACTCGGACTTTAGGCCTGCTTCCCTCTGATTGAAAAGTCTCCAGAAAAAATATGAAAGAAGTGACTTTTGTCATTGATAACTATAGGACTTGATTAAACACAACTATGGAAAGAAAATTCACTGGGGGGGGGGGGGGGGGGGGGCATTCACCGGCACTCAGTATAGGCTTATGTAGGGCCTATAATCAAAACTTGAACTCCAATTTCGCCACCGGGTGCACCACAACGCCGCATTGACGCTCCATCATGCGGAATCTAATCTAAATAAATTTATCTCAAATCACATAAAATATTATATCCATCACGTGATATGTTTCACGTATGCGTATTAAGGTAAATAACATCACTTGATGGCAGAAAAGATGGATTCTAGATGCTCTGTGGTGCGATCTGAGGCAATTTCTGACAACTGTAACCAATATTTTCTTTATAGCAAAAGATATTGTAGTACATAAAAGGGCCCTGTAAATGAGACACACGAGTTCAAAAATCTGGGGGGGGGGACATTTGATATTGTGTCCCCCATCCTTCAAAAAGTGTGGGGGGGGGGGGGACACATGTCCTCCTGTTCTCCCCCTGGATTGACGCCCATGCTCAGCACACCAAGTCCTCAGATGAACCATGGGACAAGGGAAACTTTCGGACGATAAACGAAAGAAAGCCTCCCCATAAAAGAACGCTGGGTTGAAAGCATATTGAAAGGCATAAGATCATTCGCTTTTCTTGCATTTTGTTTGTTTCCAATAATAACACCACTAAAGAGCCAAAGAATAATCATCGAAACATATTAACTGTTGAAGATTCAGCTAAGTGGATATTACACTTTTTTTCAGAAAACAGTGAAAAACCACGCATATAGCCTTTTGATCACGAAACACGTTTTCGTCTATGTGGCACTCTTTTATTTCCGAAAATCATTCCAAAAATTGACTGATCGATGGAAATCACCTTCATTCTTGATTTGCTCAAAATGACAGCAAGCCAGACGGAATAATTTCATGGGATGTTTAGTACGGTTTTAATAGTACCAGTACGATCTTTAATCCAAGTATAGCTTTTTGTAATTCGGAAGGCTACTTTTGGGATACATGCAAATGATCCTATTATGCATTTCAGGGGCATTTCTGCTTTCCAGCAATGATGTAATATCACTATACTGTTGTATGCTGCTTTCAACTTCTGCAAGAAAACGAGCTTAAAGTAGGACTATGCAAATCGAATCTCATTAACCGACCGTGAAGTGGCACAAATCTTCTCAAGGGAAAGGAAAATGAATGGATTAGCCTTGGGCAGGGATTACAAGAGGATTACATAGGATAACACGTGTTCCCTGTTGGATAAGGATGAGCTCCCGTCTTCATTCCCGACAGTAGTAAAATAAAAAAATGTTATCGGTTTACTTTTTCTTATTAATGATGTATTTTTTGTAAGTTTCATGAATTTGAACACCATTAAGTTGGCTATCCAGTTAGAAACGTCATTCAACAGATTAATTTGGAGGAAAGATTCGTCTGCTCGTATTGATTGCTTTGAGTTTGAAATGATATTTGACACAACGGCGTAGCCAAGGGGGGAGGGGCCGTGGGGGGCGGGGCGCACGCCCCCATAAA